CAGCTTGCCAGTTATTTAGTGGGTAATATAACTTTTCCTAACTAATTCTTTCATTAAATATTATATTCCTCCACTATTATAAGGTTGCAAGTTTCTTGTATAGTTTACTCCTAGGCTTTTTCGTTTTTACTCCTACAATATTTTCAAAACAGTTGTTGGTGGTATATAAGGAAAGCTCTGGATTTTTACATACTTATTTTGGCTACCGTGGTTTTGGTTTTGGTAGTTTTTCAGTTGGATTCCCTTGGATTTTCCATGAAATACCATGATAACTTTGCTTTCTCCTTTCCAGCAATGTACCTATTACTTTATTTTATTTAATTATATTGGCTAATGCTTCTAAAGCAATGTTAAATCATGGCAGAGATAGTGTATTTTTCTCATTTTGTTCCTAATTTTACTGGGAATGCTTTTAGTGTTTACTATAGGACAATGCTTATTGGTTTGAGACAAATTTATTACGTTACAAAAACTCTTAATCTTATTTTATTGGGTTTAATTAAAAATAAGACACATATTTTTATCAAAAGCCCTTTTAGCATCTATTGGAATGGCCTACTATGTGCCCTTTTCCCTTTTACTCAATTTTATAATAAATTATAACATGAATATTAGGCTTACTAATACCAAACTTCACATTTGACCATAATATATATATTTTAAATTTTTTTAAAAAGATTTTATTTATCTGTGAGAGAGATCACTGGTGGGGGTGGGGCAGGGGTGGCAGGGAAGAGGGAGAAACAGACTCCCCGCTGAGCCAGAAGCTAGGAGCCCAGAGCCCTACAGGGGCTAGACACGGGGCTCAATCCCAGGACCCTGAGATCATGACCTGAGCCAAAGTGACCGAGGCACCCAGGTACCCCAGCTATAGCTTATCTTTGTTTTACTGTAGTAAACTCTCTTTTTACTAAAATTTTACTTACAATTTTTGCAGCAATATTAGTAAGATCTGTCTTAAGTTTTCTTTTGAAGGAATATCTGTTATCCAGTTTAAGCCTCCTGCTTGTTATCTTGGCTTTATGAAAGAAGTAATCTGATTTTTTTCCTATGCTTCAAACAATTAAAAAGAATTAGAATGCTTGGTTTCTCGTAGACGTGAAATACTTCCAATAACACACACTTCCACTGGCACTTTTCTCAAATTTTTTTAAATAATTATAGCCTAATTGGTTTTCTCCCATTCTTCTTGAGCCAGTTTTATTTATTTACAGCATCCTTAGGAGTAAAATCCAAGTTTTCAAATATTTAAACCATAGATATAAACACAACTAAAATTTAAGTAGAAAGAAAAGTGATGAGAAAAGACAATCCAATATGCAAACAAAAGGAAAAACAAAAGTTGGATTTAGATGTGTAAGTAAAAGTGAATGCAAAGGGGAAAAGTATATACCTTGGTAGACAAGATTCACAATATAAAATGGTTAATTAATTCATTTCCTGAGTCTTTATGTTTTAAAGAGTATCCTCCTTTGTCCTTAAGCCCACTTGGCTGCTCGGGAAATTCTTCAATTAATATTATTTTTTTTTGTCCCTGAAAACGCTCTAGCTGTTGAATCATTAATTTCAGAAATCTTATTGGTTGAGAGAAGTGAACATCTTTCTTTTTCCACTGTACATAATATACTTCCTTTCCTTTGCTACTGATGTTTGTGAAATCACTTCTGTAATCCCTGAAAATTCAGTAAATTCCACCAAGATGCTCCTAGAACATGAGTCCTCTTGATCTCCAGAGTGACATTTTCATTCATTCTAAACAAGTTTATTGTTTTCTGGTTTTTGTTTTTGTTTTTGTTTTTTTACTATCCTCCATTTTCCATTATTCTCTTGTTTCCTCCACAGAAACCAATTAGGACTTTTCAGTATCTGCAAATTATTTTCTTTAACTGCCTTCATTTCTATGCCCACTCTTTCCACGTTCTATGTAATTTCCTCATGCTCTATCTCTAGCTTACTAATTATATTTTTGATATTGTTTATTCTGCTCCTTGCTGTTCATAATAAATTATACTTTATAATACAAGTATGTTCCTGTGATCTTTATCCTTAGTTCTGCTACTCCTTTTATATATATTATTTTTGTTCTCTTATTTTTCCAGTTATCATTTGCTACTTAACTTTCTTGGCAGTTTAGAATGGTTTAAAATTTTCTTTTTTCTTAGAAAAACTCAATTCTCCCAAAGAGTGATTATCTGCTTTCTTTGGAATATTAAAATATCTGCTCAGGTTTCATATTTGTTAATTTATGTGTACTCTGTTAACTTATCTTTGAACAGAAGAAATTCTCTGGCTCTGCCATTTAAACACAAAGGCAAATATTATCTCCCTGATAACTGAACATCGGGTGCCTCTCTTTAAAAATTAACATCTAATAACTGATCTTTGGGTACCTCTCTTAAAAAATTAACATCAAAGCTCCCAACTCATTAATCAGTTGGCCAAGTGAGTAGCATGGAGGAAGGACCTGGAACTAAATGTAGTAAGTCCTTTATCTCTGTGTAATTTCTGAGTCTACTGAAACTCTGCCAATGATGAGAACTAGCGAGCACATGGACTATGGCTATATCCTATAAGAGGACTATTAATTTTGGCATATCTGCCTATTCTGGGAGTGAGCCAGACTCAAGAGAGACAGGAGGAGTCAGAACAGAAACCACAGTACATCACCATTTTTGTTTAGTGGGGAAGCACACAATTTTTTCTGTGCCTATAAAGTTGGTAGTAAGACATCTGCTTCACAATTCTACTCTAAGCCTCACCTCTAAGCTTTGCTCCTCCTGCTAAGGAAAACAGGTCAGCCCATAGAAAAATGGTGTAACCATCAAGTCTCTCCTTTAGTTCTAAGACAGCAGAAATGAGACTTTCCTTATTTCTCTCAAAGCCTGCCTATACCTCAACCTCCTCCTCTAAATTAGCAAACTCAATTCACTCTGGATAACTTACTTAGCAAAAATTCTATCCAGTTTGTGGTAGCTTCCACTTAAGATACATTTTTCTTTTGGTTCTTCAGAATTATTTTGGTGAATTCAACAGAAGATGATTTAATAAACACACAACTTTATCATTTTTCCTCAATATCCACTCACTCAATTTAATCATTTAAAACATAAAATATGCATACATATTTTATCTCCTGAAGACATATACTATGAACTACTTCATCAAGAACAGTGCATGCACACACCGCAGGTATTCAATATTTGTTGATTTTCCTCATAAGAAACATTTGTAATATACTCAGAGTATAAATCAAATAATTGTAAGTACTTCAGTTTCATATTAAAGCAGCAGATTTTTAAAATGTTTTAAAATGCCCTTTGCATTTAAATGTCCATCTTTCAATCTTGCTCTTGTAGTTCTACAAATATATCAAACGAAGCCTCTTTAAGATATAAAGTGTACTAGGAAAGAGTCTAGAATAAAAATAAAATCCTCCCAGTGAATATATCAAACTAAAACTTGCCAAAACCCTAATTAAGAAAGGAACTATGCCATTATGGATATGGTACCACAGGCATTCAGACAAATAGGCCTAAATTCAAATCTTCATTCTTCTACTTGCTAGCTATATGACCCAAAACCATTTACCTCAACTGAATATCAGATTTCTCATTTGGAAGATTAGGATAATTTCTATACTTTATTAAACTGTTAACAGGTTTAAATGAGATAGTACAGTAAGTGGGCATTCAGTAACAGAGAGTTATGTATTGTTTGTGTATATCTCCAAACTGATCTCTGATCTGGAGAATCATAGCATCATTCAAAGGAAAATTCATGCTCTGCATTCCCTTAAAAATAAAGAAGTCAGTTTTATTTTTTCTTTGAAAGATTTTATTTATTTATTTGACAGAGAGAGAGAGCATGAGCATGGGAGAAGGGCAGAGCAAGAGGGAGAAGTAGGCTCCCTACAGGGAGCTGGACTCAGAAATCGATTCCAGGATTCAGGGATCATGACCAGGGGATCATGACCAGAGCCAAAGGCAGACGCTTATCAACTGAGCCATCAGGGAGCCCCAAGGAGTTCATTCTAAGCAATAAAGTTTCCTACTCTTGTCAAAGAAAATATGATTACAAAATTCTGGTATGTTTCAAAGATCATTTAAATAATGCCTTTGTCCTAGTAATAGTCTCTAAAATTAAGTTCATATGAACAAAAAGGAATAACAAAAAGTATAACTGAGATTTTAAGAGCTACCTTTGTCCAGTCTCCTTCTGAGGTTTTTCATCCACATGAAGAAGCATGTTACCCCAACCACAACTAACTGGACTAGTGGCTAAGCCAAAAGAATGAGGTACACGTAAAACTAACCACCAAGGACAATGGCAAGATCAGAACCAACTATCAGATATACCCTCCAGGAACAGGGTGGAGAGATGAATATAGAGAAGTAAGCAGGGATCCATAGAAAATGAAGATTTATTGTTTTGAGGTATCACAGAATCTTGAATAATGAACCAGCATTAGAAATCCCAAGGATAACAGCACAATTTCCAATTTTTGGAAATACTGAAACACATACAAAAATACACTGCTGTTTGGATGTTTATTCCATGCTTCCTTGAGTCAAATAAAGCACTGCTTCTGAAAATGTTCAATTCAATACCTTTAATCACAGAGTACAGTGAAGAGTCCTATGCACAGACCTGCTGAAACTCCCTTGAAATTTACCATTAGACCTTAAATTCACATTAATTATTGATTCTATGCCACACTGTATCAAGAGAATGTTTTACTATAAAATTGTTTTCATTAAAATATTTAAGCAAAATCAATGCTTCAGAAAGAAATGCCATGTTTGCTCCACATTTTCATGAATACCTCTAAAATACCAATCAGTGCTATTCCCCCAGAAAATGAGAATCTAAACTGAATGGTATAAACTTAAGATAACTGAGACACAATTTCCTCAAAACTTAAAAGATTCCAACTATTACATAAATCAAGAAACAGTAAATTATTTGTTCGTTTTCTAAATTATTTATCAGAATAAACTTACGATCTGATATGTGGGAAATCTTCTTCAATTTTGCTTCCTGTGTTTTTAAAAATTTGGAGTGCAGCTTCTGCTACTTTTTCATCATCCATTTTCAGACAAGCCAGGAGAGATTCAAATGTTTCAGCAGAATGAAACGAGATGGGATGTGTAAATGAAAGTACCTTAAAAAATGAGTCACAAAAATGATCTGTAAGCCTTTTCCATTTTTACAATATAAATCCAAAATATTACATACTGGAAATACTCAAATCAAAGTAAATATAAAAAGAATTATGCTAATAAGTACATGAAAGCACTACAAATAAAGTTTAAAACTTAAACATGTACCAGATATGTTCCAGTGTAGGAAGACTGCATGATCTAACAAAGTCCTTTCTTTCAAAATTAAATTACTCAATATAATTCTACTCAAAATAATTTAGATTTTGGTTAATGTTTGGGTTTTTTGGAGGAGGATGAGAATAGAATTTAACAAAGGAGAATTTAACAAAGGAGGAGAGAGAATTTAACAAAATAGCTCTAGTCTTCTAAATAAAGGTCGTTAGAAGAGACTAATAACATTTTTGGAAAAAAGTTATCTAGAAAAGAAGGTAAAACAACAGATCATAAAAGATATGGTAACATTTACACCTGTTAATATTATCAAATCAACATGGTACTAACATTAGAAGAAACAAAACAGAAAAAGTAAACTTTTTAGTCCAAGCATATATAAGAACTTGGATTATATAGAGTAATATAAATTATAAAGAAGGAACAGAAAATGAAAATGGATGGGATTTTCATTAAATAGTCTCTGATAAAAATACACAGCTATTTGGAGACAATCCAATTAGACCCTCCCCCACAAAACATACTTTCAAAATAAATTTCAGATGGGTTATATTTTAGATTGAAAAACAAAAACAATAAAAATCTTCTGAACAAGACAGCATTTCTAAGCTTAAAATAAACAACTGGGATCAAAATACAGAATGTAAAAACAAGCAAGCAGGAGAAAAATACATTGAGTATAATACTGTATTTGTAAGATTCAGAAACAAGAAAAATAAGTGATGTTACTTAGAGATACACAGATAGACACAGATGATAAAACTAAACGGACAATAAGAGAATGAATAATAAACCCCAAATAACAGAACAATTCAGAACAATTATACCTGGGAGAAGTGAATCACAGAAAAAAACTACTCAGGGAACTTCAACAGTATCGTTAGTACTCTATTCGAGTCAGTATCTTATTTACTTTTCACTGTATTTACCTTATAACTTACATAAAAAACAAAATGTATTCTATAATATATATCAAATATGTCCCATAAAAAAGGAGAATAAAAAATTCAAATCAGTTAAAAAAAACAAAAAGCTGAGATGTCAGTAGAAAATGAACATAAGATTAAAATAGAGAGAAAACAAACACAGGATAAAAATAATGAATTCACCATAGGAAAAACACTAATGACTATACCTCACTGCAATAACTACACAAATAAAAACATCATTTTTATTTATCAGATTAGAAAATCTCTTTAAGATTTACAATATTCTATGTTTGTGAAGACATACTGCTAACTGAATTATATATGGGTATAATTTTTCTGTAAAGGAATTTTATTAAGTATATACATCTAAACTTTTTGAAAAGTATTCTCTTTGTGTTCTAGTATTTAAAAAAAGAAGACATCAGCAAGGGATCTTTGATATATTTATCCTTGCATCATTATAAGAAGAATAAAATTAGAAAAATCTAAATATCAAGGGAAATAGTTGGGAACTCTATGGCACTGCAAAAGTGGACTAATCACCATTTGAAAAAATGTTTTTTATATTTTTACTATGAGCCAGATACTGTGCTCGGAAACATATGAGCATGACTTAATTAAGTCCTCCCTCTGTGAGATAAGGGCTATTATTATCTCCAATACAGATAAGGAAGTAGAGGCAATGAACTTACCCAAAAGTATCCACCTACTAAATGACAGCCATAAATCAGATCTGTTTTTTGACACTCTTAAAAACACTTCCTCAAAAAACAGTGGTAAAAGTGTTTATAATTTAATAAGGGAAAATAGTCAAGATACAAAATTGTATATATTCGGTCTGATCTCAACTATAGAAGTGTGCGTTTTCTTCTAGATTAAAAGGAAAATAAAAGGAACGTTTATGTGTGATAGGCTTATGAATGTTTTCTTTGTTATAATTTTATATTTTCTAAGTTGTCAATAATTAGCTGATATTTTTATAATAAGTAAAAGGCAGCAGTATATTTTAGCTAACAAAAGATAAAATGAAGTTTTAGGAAGAATTTGGCTCCATGTTTGGTAGGACTAGCACTTTCTTTGCTCACTAATGAAAACTTCAAATTATAGTCCACTAATTTATTTTTTGGTAAAGATTTTATTTATTTATTTGACAGAGAGAGACACAGCAAAAGAGGGAAAACAAGCAGGAGAGCAGCAGAGGGAGAGAGAGAAGCAGGCTTCCCGCCGAGCAGGGAGCCCAATGTGGGGCTCAATTCCAGGACCCTGGGATCATGACCTGAACCAAAGGCAGACACTTAACGACTGAACCACCCAGGCACCCCTATGGTCCACTATTTTAATGTAATGCTAATGTAATACTACTAGTAATGTAATACATTACTAATGTAATGTAATACTAATATAGGTAGGCTACAGTATATAGTTTAAACCTGAAAATATTTAGCTTACATGTTAGAGAAAATGTGCAATTTCTAAATTACCTAAAAGATTTGAGAAAATTTTACTTGTTTCTATAAAAACTTAAGAAGCAAATCTCAAGAATAAAAAATATATACTGCATGTATGTTAAACAGTTATCTAATTGGCACTTAATTTCACCATAGCATATTTACCTTAAGCAGTTCAAGACCTGCCCTGATGGCTTGATCAGTTGGAACACCTTCATCTTCATCATCTGCTGTTCCATCTATTGATTTATTCACTTGCTTAATAAGAGCACTGAAGTATGACAAAAAAAATTGTCATATTTTCAACTGTTCTTTATTACTGATGTCTAAGAAAAATAATCATGAATATTTTCTATATATACCACATCCAAACACATAAAAATTTGACAAAGCTGTTTCCCAAACATCACAGCAAAACAAAAAATTATAATAGGCATTTTAAGATACTTCTTTTCAAAAATACCATTTTTCCCGTCCATTCAAATGAAGTCCACATATTATGTGATTTGCTATTTTTTTTTAAGATTTTATTCATTTATTTGGCAGAGAGAGACCCAGCAAGAGAGGAAATGCAAGCAGGGGGTCTGGGAGAGGGAGAAGCAGGCTTCCTGCCAAGCAGGGAGCCCAATGCAGGGCTTGATCCCAGGACCCTGGGATCATGACCTGAGCCGAATGCTTAACAACTGAGTCACGCCTGTTTATTAATGCTACCTATATTTTTATTCTTGTATTTTCCATGGAAGAATTATGCCCAAACACAAGAATAGGTGTTTTCTAATTATCTGAAATTCATTACTGCTTGAGTAAATAGAACAAGCATACTGAAATAAGGAATAAATGGCAACATTAAGCAATTTCAAAATATTTACCAAGTAATACTATGTGTCAGGCACTGTTGAGAGAGCCAAAAACACACAGGTCTGTTCCTGAAAAGTGTCAAAATACCTAGATAACAGATATATAATAAAACTTCACTAGAAATTAGAATAAAAAGGAAACAATATGCTTTGAAATTTTCTTCTAAAAACATACCTAGCTTCTTTTAAAATAAACGCTTATAATTTGATACCAATTATCTAAACCAGTCATTCACACTTTTAAGTATTTGTTCTTTTTATAAAAAATAAATAACATACACCATCGTTAGAGACATAGTATATGTATTAAATGCAGGAAAATTCAACTATTCAATGTTCTTCAAAATGTTTAGTTGTTCTATGTTTCTACAAAAATATCATGAACTCAAACTGAAGATCAAGCTAGGAGTCAAACATATCTGTCTCTCTTGCAGGGTCCTCTTAAATTTATCAGACACCTTAGCAGCAGATATCTTTGAGAATGTTTTATTCTTTTCTGCCCATTTTTCTTGATTAATCAACTGTCATAGCTCCAACTATCCCAAATAATATTTAAATATTTAGAAAATATTTTCATCCATGACAAAAAGCATGAATGAAGCTCTCAAATCTGGTGAGGGAAGGCCAAAAATTAGTAAGCAAATACACAGAAAATATAATCAGGGAACAATAATGACCACAAAGTAGGCAAAAACAAGAAGTGAAATTCTTTAGCCAGAAAAGGAATGTCTGAAGAGATACAACTGAGCTAATGACCAAAGAACAGGAGCCAGTCATATAAAAATCTGCGAGAAAAAGCATTAACCTGTAAAACCAAAATTAATCAACTGAAAAACTATTAAAAAAACCACTAGTTCAGTGAAGTGATACCAACAAAACACAAAAAGATCAGTAGTGCTTTTCTATATCAGCCAAAACCACCCAAAGAATACAGAGAGGGGAAAAATCTATTCACAATGACAAATTAAAATTATAAAATAAGTTTTACATGCACAGAATCTATGTGTAAACTCTACAGTTACATGAAGGGGAACACAAGATTTGAGTAAGTCCAGATAAGTCATGACATTTTTTCACTAAATCTCCAAATGTTATTAGGGGAACACAACTTGGTATGGGACAAGATTCAACAGATGCATTCTATGGTTCAACTGGAAAAATCAATTAACGTTTGGGAGCAGCCAATTAATTTTAGCAGAAGGGAGAAGGATGAAATTAACCAACAATTAACCAAAGAACTTTCTCAACAAAATAAAAATGTTTCATTAACACCTCAAAAGAAAAATGAACCAAAGCAAAAATTCAGTAAGCATCCAAACCACACAAGAATTTATATTATAGTAAGGAAATAATTACAAATTAATTGGGAAGAATTTTTCAATAAATGGAGTTGATATAACTAGCTTCGATATGCCTTTTTAAAAACGAATGGATATCTACTTCCGTCTTACCCTAAAATGAATTCCAAACTAATTAAAGATTTAAGTGGAAAAAAAATAACCACCTAGTATGAAAGGAAAGGCAGAAAAATCATAAAGGAAATAACTGATAGATTTAATAGTATTTATTATATATTTATACAAATTTAAAAGGCAACTGAACTAGATTAATAGCCTTATTTAATAAAGGATTTTTTTAAAGATATATTAATTTATTTATTTGTCAGAGACAGAGAGAGAGAAAGAGAGATAGAGCAAGCACACACAAGCAGGGGGAGTCGCAGGCAGAGGGAGAATCTGGCTCCCCACTGAGAAAGGAGCATGATGTGGGACTCAATCCAAGGACCCCGGGATCATGATCTGAGCTGAAGGCAGATGCTTAACACTGACTGAGCCACCCCAGCGTCCCTTTATTTTATAAAGCATTCTTACATTCAATAAGAAAAAGACAAGTCCAAGCCCCTCATAGGAAAATTTTTTAAAAAACAATTAACCAAGAAATATATGGGGAAGAAAAATGTTCAACTTTATTAGTGACACACTGTTATTTTTTAAAAAAGAGTATCACCATTTACCTGTGAAATGGCAAGGACTGAAAAGGTTAATAACCACTATCAGGGAGAGTTAGGTGACCTGAACACTGACTACTGGTACAAGGGACTAAGAGTGGAATCTTTCTGGAGACCTAGTTTAATACTGTGGTGGTTAAACAAGAGGGCTCTGGAGCCAGACTTCCTAGGTTTCAATGCCATTCACCACTTTTTAGCAGTGGAAAAGTTATTCAACATTTGTGTAACTCACTGTTCCTTATCTGTAAATTGGGAATAATAACATTTCTTGTCTCACACGGTTAAGAGAAAAATGAGCAAACGTGTAAAACATTTGGAATCATTCCAAGTACTTTATAAGGACTAATTGCTACTACCTGTTACTATTATTTATGTTTTGACATACTTTCTACATCACTACAAACTATTGATGATAAAGCCAAAGATTTCAGTCTGACTGTTCATAGTACACATTACTTGTTAAAACTTTCTCCATCTTAAACTTTCAAAACACTACAATAACCTGGTGTTCTTATACTCCTGTGATTTTTCTGTTGTTGAAAAACAAAATTCCAACATTCTGTCCATGATCTTTTAATCTTTTTACTACTTTCTACACGATCTCATGCCCAGGGAACAAATCCCATTCTCACAGTTTCACATTAAGCTCAATTTGCCTTGATTTTTTAATTGTTTGTCATGTCCAAATAAGAAGCAGATCAGTTCCCTTAATTCTTTTCCAAGTATTACTATGTGCTTCATCATTTGGACTTCAGCTCTTATACTTCTGACTCCTCATCAACATTATTCCCCATTTCCAGTAAGATAACCCACCTACTAAAGCATTCCTCAAATATAATCTTCCCTTTCCATCCCACTACCAGCATCCAGAGACAATTTGTAACACCTTAACAGTCTATCCATTCTACTTCCCTCCTCCTATCCATCATTAAGCATCCAGGGTTCTCAATAGATTGAAGAATACAGTAAAAGCCCTAACGTTAGACCTTAAAAGCTTTCCACAATCTCACCTCAACTACTTTTTTTGCTTTATCTCATAACACTTTTATATCTTCCCATGGTCACCATTTTCTAAATATCCTTGTCTTTTCCAGTCCAGTTAGCCTGGTTTACATTAATCTCAGTACCTAGAATATTCATTCTCCCAACTCTGTAAAAACAAATTCTTATCCATCCTTCCTCTTAAGTCGGATACTATTCCTTTAGAGAAAGCCTCTTTCAGTCTTCTGAACACTATTTGCATTAATTTTATGAAACTATAAAATAAACTCCTGATTAAAATTCTTTATTCCATTGCCAGACAATGGGTTAATGAAAAGTAAAAAAAATGTGCTTTGCCAATACCAACTAGCATTGCCCTGAATAGAGAAAGCATGGGATTATTTATTGAATGAGTTTCAGTCTGATTCAGTGTCTTCCTTATACTAATAAGGGGTTCTGATTTTTTGTTTTATATTGTTTTTCAATCCATAGAACCCCTTCTTCAAATGAAAACTGAATGCAGGGCGCCTGGGTGGCTCAGTGGGTTAAAGCCTCTGCCTTCGGCTCAGGTCATGATCTCAGGGTCCTGGGATCGAGGCCCGCATCGGGCTCTCTGCTCAGCGGGGAGCCTGCTTTCTCCTCTCTCTCTCTATGCCTGCCTCTCTGCATACTTGTGATCTCTCTCTCTCTCTGTTTCAAATAAATAAATAAAATCTTTAAAAAAAAAAAAGAAAAAAGAAAACTGAATGCAACAGGAGTCCAAAGTGACTACTGGGTATCCAAAGCAGGGTCTCCCTACTCTGCAGGGGATCACAGCCCAAAAGCTACACCCTCTACCCTCCTAAGCAAAACAAATCCCGAAAAAGGGTTTATTGGGTACAGGATATTATTATCTAGATTCTAATATATCTCTAAAAGATACTACTGATGACCAGTAAACGAGGATGTTATTTTTATATATATACATACACACATTCTGTAAGCACTTTATTTTTTCAACTAGTCGAAACATTTTAGGAAAATGTTTAAAAAAAAGAACATTTTATATAGGGGAATACAGCCATAAAAAGAAAGCATTTTCCAAGATGTCAAAGTTATCTATGTCAAAGCTGACATGAGGGTTGTTTTAAAAATAACACTTTCAGGTCTGAAATACCTGTGAAAATGCATCATATGCTGCTTTACAACATATTCACCTAATTTTCTTTTCCTGAGGGTATAATTATAAATTGTATTACCTATACTATGCAAGTTAACTAAAAAGAGGAATTCCTGATATACTTGGTTAACAGATAGAAACCAGGCTTAAACTCGTATTTTCTCATCCAAATGAAATAATACTTAAAATAAGAAAAATTAAATATATACAGATATATGCAAACAAGCATGTACATATACATACACATACGTATGTATGAACATATATACATACAGATATATAAATGAGTATTATAGCCATTTCACATACACAAAAATCTGTACAGGTAAGTGCCTGTGTATAGCAGGTACTCAAAAGCAACTGACTAAAGCATGAATGAACAGTGATGAAAATTTAATATTTTTAGATAAAAATACCTGATAGATTCAGTATCTATGTGTACAGGTGCTATCCTCTCCAAAAGAAACTTGATCATCTCCAGGAAAGGATTTGTAGGCTGTTTGGGGTTGCCCAACTTCTTAGTTATTTCACGCTGTGAAGCAGATTTTTTAAAATATTACAAAAAGATGTTTAAAAAATTACATCACATTAAAATACTAAGAATCTAAAGTAATTAAAACAATGTAATACTGGTGTTGGAATAAATAAATCAATAGGAATTGAAGGAGTCCAGAAAACCAAACTAACATTTTGCATATGAGAAAGGCAACATTTCAACTAACAGGAAAAAAGATGGATTATTCAATATATTGTGTTGAAATAACTGAACAGATATTTTGAATAAAAACATGATTGACCTGATAAATCATTTTATCATTCCAAAATGATAAAAACAAATACAAAAGAATAAAATCAGGTTCAGTGGAGACACAAACTTCAGAGTGTAGAGTTATCAGGAAAGCTTGCTAAAAACAACAGATTCCAGGACCTCAGTGTAAAGATTAGTCAATCTGGGGTGGAGCCAAGAATCACGTTTTTTCTTTTTTGTAAGCCTCTTGGAAGATGCATGGGCAACAGATTGAGAAATACTGATATTAGTAAATATTTTCATTGACTTGCAATAGAATGGAATTTTGTAAGCAGGACATAAAATGTAAAAGCCTTAAAGAGTCTGCTGATAGACTCAGCTACATAAAAATAAAACTATGGTATGTAAAGGACATCATAAATAAAATGAAAGGGCAAACTACAAATGAAAGAAAATTATTTGCAGCTTAATTAACATACATGATTAACAAATCAACAGATAAAGACAAATGTCATTCCAGAAAAATAGGCAAAGATTAAAAACATACAATTTACAAATATATATATATAAATGGCTAATATGCCCAAGAAGAAAAAATGGTCAGATGACTAGCAACCAAGAATACAAATCCTACCAAAATAATTATGTTTTCCTTGGAGTTCTGCTTCTTTCCAATAATGACAGAAGCCAATATTGAATCTATCCTAAAGAAATAACCAAGAATGCAAAAAATTATCTGGCTATAAAGATACTAAAATGGTCCTTAAATAAAAACAGAGGAAAAAAATCTAAATGTGTAACACAAGTGACTGTTCAACAATTATGATACTTAGAATCAGTGGTATGTTCCACTGCTAGTAATATGGTAAAAGACTAATAAAAATAAGTAAAATGTACAATGCTGTATGCATATGATCTTACTTTGAAAGATATATACCATAATATTAAACAGTAATTGTCTCTATAAAGGGGTTTTAGTTTATTGCCATTTTTGTGGTATTTTACATAATGAATATAAATTTCACATAATGAATACAAAATCCACATAAATGAATAGAAGTTATTTTGTTTTGAAAGGGGGTCAAAATTTTACATAATGAATATTATGTAAAATAATGCATATTTTACATAATGAATATAAATTATTTCCTAAAAGGAGTCAAAAAAAGTTTGGGGGCTCTTCAAACATTAGTTTTTTTGTGTTTTGGGCTTTTTTTTTTTTTTTTTTTTGGTGGGAGAGAGAGAGAGCAGAGCACACACAAGTCAGGGAGAGGGACAGAAGGAAAACAGGGAAAGAGAATCTTAAGCAGGCTCCACACCCAGTATGGAGTCCAACATAGAACTGGATCTCACAACCCTGAGGTCATGACCTGAGCCAAAATCAAGAGTCTGACACTTAACCAACTGAGCCACCCAGACGCCCCAAACATCAGCTCTTTTTCAATGTCTCTCCTTACCACACAGCCTTCAGCCTGCTTGCAGGAGCATGTTGGACTAACGAGTACTTCTAACTGTTTTCTTATTTTCTCATCATCTTCCAACACCTGTGTGAACTTCTTCATGAAATCCTGAGCCTTACCAGGATCTGGCAAATTTCCTTAAATAAATTAAAATTCAGTAAAAATACCATTTTAGAAATTTCTCAAAATAATAAAGGATCTACATTTTTCATTCTTTTATTACTTTGATTAATAATCCTAATTTACAAATTCAGTTTAGTTTAATTAGAAGTTGTGGAAGCATTTCAATAGTTAACTTTCATAAAATTCTGCTTTCTAGAAATATGAAACAAGAATACTGTGAAGGAACACCTTTGTAGAGAGAGACTGAACTATTTCTAAATAACCCCTTATAATATGTAAGGGGACTAACTATTTAAACCTGATGATACCAATTTATTATTGTCTCCTTAAGCTGCTTGTGTACATTGTTCTCTTGTAACTCACAAGAACAGATCAGCAAGATTTACCTTTAAGAAACTATTTGTTAACCCATCCAGAGATAATTCACATACACAAGCTATCAGTCAATAACACATGCTAAGCAAAATGTTTCGGGTGTTACTACTAGATATGTCATTAATGCATGAGAGAGGATAAACCCCTGTGGAATCAAAGATTTTTATACCACCCTCCTAATAAATGATGTATCAAAACATGAAAGCTAGTAAAATGTTGATCCTACTGTCTTTTGGGGGTGGGAGCGGGGGGGGGGGGGGCTACTCACAACTGTTACAGAGGACCAGATTAGGCTACTTCTAATAACAGAAATTATAATATAGAACTATGGACTATAATAAAAATTGTAGAAATTCAACTAAATCTTAAAATACAAATGCAGTAAGTGCAGTCTTCAAGTTCACATGTAACTTTGAAATTACATTTTAAAAGTCTTATCTAGATCACTGAGGATAATAAGAACAAAGTGTCCTTATTATAAATACTTGACAATATGATCTTTTCATAGTTCTAGAATACAAAAAATCTACTGTACTGTCTTCAAATAATTTTGGAAGATGTCACTTTACAGCCCCTCCATAATGTATGGGCATCATACTAAAGGCTACAATAAGGTCTACCATTCAAGAAACAAACAGAATTGGGAGTGGGGGGAGTGGGAGGAAGACAGAGAGAGGGAGAAGGGAGGGAAGAAGCAAAAAAAAAAAAAAAAAACCTTTAATTCAGCATTCTACAAAATACTTGACCATGAAACCCTTTTTTCTAACCATACTATTAACACCTACAGGATACCAGGATTCCTCAGAACAGAATTTGGGAAAACAGACAGGGTTAAAAAATAGAAAAAATACAGATGATCTCCTTTACAAGATAGTATCCAGAGCCAAACAACAAGGAAATAGGTATTAAAAAGCAACAACAGAAAATCACTTGCTTTAAGTTACCTAAAGAAACTGAAAACTAATTTATGTTTATCTGCCCAAGACTAAAAGATATTTTGGTCTTAAAACACTACTCATGCTAAAACGCCTATCAGTTAGTCTAAAACACAGTTAATTAGGTTACTGTTCTCTTCAGTATCTGAGCATTACTTCCATACACATCTTGGAACATTTGTTAACATCTCAGAAATCCATCTAAGATAGATCTCTTCCCTATTCCCAAGTGGAAGCTCCGTAGAAATGTTCCTCCAGGTGTTCCTGATACTCGCTTTGCCCATGTGCTATACTATAGACAGTGATCTCTAAAGCAGGAGGAAAAGCAAATGCTCTACAAAAACAGCTACTTTACCCAATCCTTGCACCAAACAAAAGAGATGTGCTATACAATCTTTTTGTATTTACTGTTAAATGCAATTAAATAACATTTTCACTGAAAGCAAAAAAGCAAATTAGTATTTTTTTTTTCAAAGAAGTTCTTCTGTAATTATTAGGTATACACTTTAAATTTTGGCTTAGAAGAAAATTGGCTTCAAATAGATTCACATTAGAGCAAGCAACACTAAAGCACAAATTCAGTTTTCACAGTAAGCTTATGCAATAATTTGAATGAATTCCCAAAAATAAATTTATGTAATAAATCCTTTCTCCAGTTCTTTCTCATACCAACAGAAAAGAAAAAGAAAAGAAAAAGAAAACTTCAGTGTAGCAAAGTAAATGAAAATTAAAAAAAAAAAGTTGAAGCTGAGTTGTCTGTTGAAAAAAAAAAATCAAAAACACGTTACACTCTTTTCCTATATTATCATAGCCTAAAATGAAACTCCACGAAACACTTCAAATTATTAAATAGAAGTATTTCAATTAAACCTTAAATTTACATGTAATATTTGAAATAACTTACTTGTAATAACCATCACTTTTGAAAATATTGCCTTGACACTGGCATCTGTCTGTAAAACACACACACAAAAAGCAAAATTAATATTTCCTAACAATAATCTTCATTATACCCTTCAGAAAATTAGATAAGCATAACCTACTAATGCTTCAGGCCCATGCCTCAACCACCACAACTCTGAGCTCCTTTTTTAGCTACATTTAAACTCCACGAAGTGAATGAAAGGTGAATGCTCCACTATCATCTCTTCCCCTTTGCCCTGTTTTGTCATCCTCTAAACAAAAGAGAAGACTACTACACTAACCTTTTGAAACAGGGAGATATTTTGTTTTCTTTAGCAATGAAAGAACAGGCAACTAAGTATAAAAAAGGAAAAAAATTACCTGGTTTTCAAGTTTTAAGCTTATCTCAAACAAAAAGTTCACAAGTATGTAATTCTCAATGACTTAAGATGTTCCTAAAATTTTTAAGCCTGAGGATTATAAGGTATAGTCATGAAGCATACGGGGAAGACACTGGATAAAGAAAATTCAAAAGGATGCCAGTGACATGTACAAAAGATTTTTCTAAGAGTGCTACTTACTTGTCATATCAACCTAGTATTATTTCAGTGAATGAGTATGTTCACCACATTGTACCCCATGTAATAGTCTGTGAAGTCACACGTACAAAAGATATTTCTAAGAGCACTAGTTATTCACTGCATCAAGTTTGTGTTATTTCTTTAAAAAAAACATGTCTTTGTGCAACTCTGTATAATATACTGAACTAGAAAAACATTGGCGTGAAGGCAACAAATCAAATAAATACACAAATAAACCATCCCTATTCAGAAGGAGCTTGCTAAGAGGAAGCAAAAGACAAAACATAAAATAGAAGAGTTAATTCCCAAATAATTGGAATTTAAAGTATTTGAATAGATCTGTCTAGAGTCATATAAGATCTGTTGTTTAATTTGGGGAGAAAATAGGTATTGCTAAGATGAAACAGCATCAACAAAAGTATAATACTGGAAATAATGTCACTTTGAGTGACACTGAGCAAATGAATTTAGTTAAATAAAGTAGAAGGGCTATAGTGCTGAACTAAATAAGAATAAAACTATTTATCAGACTGAATAATGAAGAAGGCAAAGAAATACTGATTAATAAGTATGTAAGAATCTTCCTAGTAAAATAGGGAGAAAAATAAACATCCAAAAGATAAACACAGCTTTGTATTTTTTTCTACCTTTAACTCCATAACGTCTACTGTAATTCTTGGTATAAAGTGAATATTAAGTAATAAGAGACTATTAATTCTCCTCTCACTAGAATTAATTGCACTTTGGACTACCATCTTCTTCCATTTGGTTTCTTCTTCAACCCCATGTCACATTAATGAGAATTCCTTCCCTCTTTAACTTGTACAACTCAGTAATTATTCTGAATTCTCTCTTCATTTTGGACAACTCAGTAATTATTTTAAGACAATTTAAAGAAAAATTCCACTACGTAGAAGACATTAAAACATTTTAATTGAATTTGAGACTGTAGTTTGTTATTTCTTATGAGAATGAAGTCACGAGACCCTCCCAAGTTGTTATCAACAGACAAGGGGAAGAAGTTCCCACTAAATAAATTTTAAAGGGACAGTGAGAATCAAAAACAAATTATTTTTTTTAGTCTCACACATAATGCTATTCAACATATGATGGGCACACTTAACATACTACCTAACTGCTATTGTATGACTTCAGTAATGCCTATTTTTGGAGACATACATATAAAAACATCTGGCATTTTTAATTAATACCTTTGCAACTTTGACCAAAAGGAAGTAAATTAATACAGCTCTAGGTAGCAAACAGGAGCACTTTATCCAGAGCTTATTAACTGAAACACACTAACTTACTGCAATAGAACAATGACTAAAATACATGTTTACAGGCTGAAGCACACTAAATTAATTGGAGGTTTCCAATTTTGTTCCTTGGCAGAGAAAGTACTGAAACAGCAGAATCACTAAAATTAGTTTTAAGTCATCTATTACAAGAAAAAACTTATTCTAGCAGGTTCAATATACTCAATAATCACAGATTTCAATAAACCATAAACAAAGAGGTTACTGTTAGCCTCCCCTTACATGAAACAACTCCTCTCTCTTGACCTCTGTTCTATAAGCATGCAGTATTTGTTTTGTTTTAGAGTGGGGGGTTGGGAGAATGTGGGGGGTTTCACTAAGGAGTGAAAAGAAATTAAAAATAATAGTATATTATTATTTTTGTGTGTTATAGATTTCCTTGGATGCAATTTAAAATGGCATTTTATATTTTTTTTGATGAACTGATACTACTTTTTTGATGAATTATAATTTTTACTGGCCTACATAGAACATTCTCAAACAACATTCTAGGGAAAAAGAACACCCAGAATCATTCTAAAAGTCTAAAAAATAAAATATGATACATCAACTGGATGAATACCAAGATTAACTTATAATTATGAAAACTAAGTAGTACATTAATATTACTATAACATTAATTCTAAGTAAAAATATAAAGATACATAATTAAAATTACATAACATGAAAATTTTCTAAAACAACAAGACTACACGATGGGAATATTTTAGGGCAGCAAGACAGAGTGCAAATTTACTCTACTTTCTTTGCTTTCAATAGATACAGTCATTTTCTGTTTTTTTTTTTAAAGCTACAAAAAAACTTTAATTCTGAGTACAAAGACATATATTCTCTTTCCTGTTGTGTATCACCTTTTACAGATATAGTAAATTTAAACTTTGAATTTTTCTATAGTTTCTTAAAAAGTTCATTGTTCTAAATTAGAGATCATAGCTTCTCCAGTAGAACAGTTCCACACAGAAACAACTGTCCAACAACACTGTAGCAATGATAAAGAGTAACTAAAATACAGGCATTTTACAAAGCTTATCATCAAAGGAAAATTTTTCATTACATTTAACTTACTTTGGGTTGCTTAATTAAGTCAAGCAAATCCTTTACTTGGTGTCGGAGCAGATTTTGACATTTCCACATTTCATTCAATGCCCTGCAAAACACAAACACATAAATTTAAATAACAAAACAATAACAATCCTTCCAGAATATTCCAAATATATTTCTTTTTTTTCTTTAAGTTGAAATTAACAAAAGAGATGACAGAGATGAGGTAAACTTTACAGAACTAAGCAACTGATGATGTATGGAGCAAAAGAGCAAGGAAAATATAAGAGGTATGAACATGTGAAGGGATATCTATATCATTAACTACAATATGTGTATAAATTAGGGTATAGGAATAATCTATAGAGATTATAAACTTGAGAAATAAAGGAATATTTGATGGAGTAAGGTCCTGTAATAGGCAGGATGAAAAGGAATCAAAGCCACAAACAGAAAAGAGTTTGTGCTGAGAGAATGCGGGATACTTTTTTCTAAAACAGAAATGCTCATAATGTAACTTTATATAATATGTATTACATGTTTATGTATATTATTATAAAAGTGTATATTATGTACTTACAGTTAAGTATACAGTTAATCATTATAATAAAATTAAAATGTATAAATCAATGTAAATAAAAATGATAAGCTCTCACTTGTTTTATTTATCCTCAAGTTCTCACTGTTTAGAGGTAGAATTTATGTTTAGATTTTTTTTTAAGATTAATTTATTTGAGAGAGAAAGAGAGAAAATGTGAGGCGGGGAAGGAGAGAGAGAATCTCAAGGAGACTCCCCACTGAGCAGACCTTGACAGGGGGCTTGATCTCACAACCTGAGATCATGACCTGAGCCAAAACCAAGAGGCGGAATCCCAGCCCAGTCACCCAGGCACGCCTATGTGTTTAGATTTCTAAGGACTAATTGAGGTCTACAGTCTGAAATATAGCTGTTACATAGTTAACTAAGTAACATATTATGTTCCTTATACAAATTATATAAAACATTATTACCTATATATTCTATATAGTTTATATATAGATTATATATTACATATAATCTATATATAATTTTATATATAATTATATATTATATATAATCTATATATAATCTATATATAATTATATATTATATAATATATAATATATATTACCTATATATTCTACACATCCTATATAGAATACATATAAGCATATTTATACTATATAAATTTGACATGTACAAGTATTTATATCCTATATATTCATTAGTTTATATAAATATATGTGTTTACATATTATTACATGTAAGTGAATATTATTTTTGTACGGCAAAATTTTTGATGTCCTCTTAATACTTTTGTTTTCAGACAGAAATTTAAATCTAAAAAGAAATTACACACATACTCAAGAAAATACACATAAATCATGAGAGCAGTTAATGTTACTAAATATTGAGTTACAGAATTCAGAACCACACAGTTTAATATTTGAAAGGAAATTTTCCAAAACCAAATACTTTTTATTATTTTGTTTTGAATTACTTACACTTCGATTAACCTCCCCTATCACACATATTAAGCACTGCCATAAAACTGTAATATAGTACAAAAGCATAAAAAAAACACCTTTTTTTTCATAGACAAGAACTAATTGCTAAAAAAGTCTCATTCTCCTTCTTAACATTCTGTTTTAAGAATACCTTTGGATACTTTTATGGAAATAAAATAGTTTAAATTTGGACACAAATTCCTTTACAGTAGTCATCTCAAAATGGTACTGGCAAAGCAGCAGCATTTTATATTAAAAGCTAAATTAAAATAACTATACATGTAGACATTAAAGAAAAATGACCAGTATACAGAGGACTGTAAAAATCTCATAACTAAGTAGAGTTACATAATTAAAATAATTTTCAAAAAACAGAGTAGTCATCTGTGAAATTACTCCTGAACTCCAAAGTCAATGAATTGTCCCTTGCTTCTTAACACTTCATGATTACTTACAACTTCTGACAGGCCTGGACTTTTGAAACTTGCCTTCACTTAAAGCAGGAATTATTACACCTCTAATAGCTATTTATTAAAGATGAAATATCAAGCAATTCCAAAGCTCCATATAAAATATTATGGCTGTTAATCAAAAAGTGACCATCACTAAGTCTTTGTATTATATTTTTAGGGAAACCATCCTCTCAAGCATTTTAATAAAATTATCTTAAGCAGCAAAGACAATTTATCTTTGTGTTTGCCTTCCTAAATAATCCTTTAAAAAAAGAAAAAAAAAGAGTAGACATAATATTACTACAACTGGAAGACAAATATAACTTAATATGAGCCTGAATTCCAGCACTGTCACTAAATAAACACAAAAAACTTGATTAGAGAATGGATACTCTTACAGTTGTTACTGGTCTAGTCTTCTCACTAGAGCTTTGCACTAACTCAAAGAAAAAGACAGCCACCATTGGGTGGCTATCAGAAACCTGTACGAGTGCTGAAGAGAAACTCTCCTCCAGCATTCCGCTCCCAGTTGGCAAAACTACCCACCAGACTCAGCAGTACAAAATTGGGTCTAGATGAGAGCCTGCCTAATGAAAGATATCACAACCACAACACCTGAAACTACCACTAACTCTTGCCATTAACAAGCTGTTCTAGGAAGCGTGGGGGAGGTGGCAACACACACCATGATTAGAGAGTACTCAAGCCTGCCTCTGTTCTCTTTTTCATTAATCAAGATATTTAGGGGGACACCTGGGTGGCTCAGTCAGTTAAGCATCCAAATTTTGGTTTGGCCTTGTGTCATGACCTCAGGGCTGTGGGATCAAGCCCCACTGTGAGTCTCCCCATTCTGTGGAGCATCTGCTTGAAGGTTTTCTCCCTCATCCCCGCCTTGGGCAGGCATGTATGCATGTGCACACTTTCTCTCAAATGAATAAATCTTTAAAAAAAAAAAAAAGATATTAGTTAACTTGGGGACTTGCTTAAAACTGATACATACCAACTTTTAAATACAGAAAGTACTGTCTTCCCCAAAAGAACATGATCACAATAAAATATATGGTTCTTTCAACAAATAAGAAAGATCAAATAAGTTCTCACCACGAACCTGCCTCCCAAGCAGCTATTTTTAAGTGCTTTTCAAACTAATTAGAGTTATAAATTCAAATGACTTCTGGGCTAGAACAGTAATGTATAATGAATAAAGACAGATATTACAATACAGAGTGGTGAGGACTCTGATAAGATTAGAAACATTATTGAAAACATCAAGATTATTACTATTCAGGAAAATGAAACAAAGATGTGACAAAATTTAAGACCCAAGAGTCACAAAAAATAAGATGTCTGATAATGTTTAGGAAGACACAGAAAATGAATGACCAACAAGCTATAAATATTATGCATGAATCTTAGGAACCTAAAAAAAAAGGGGGAAAAGTCACAGAAGACTATATCCACACTTACTCTACTTTCATAAAGTTCAAAAACAAGTAAAAATACGGTATTGAGGGATACATACATATATGTAAAACTTTATTTTTGATAAAACTATTTTTTAAAGATTTATTTGTATGTTTATTTGAGAGAAAGAAACAGAGAGCGGGTGAGGGCAGAGGGAGAGGGAGAGATGCAGACTCCATGCTGAGCGTGGTGCCCAACAAGGGGCTTGATCCCAGGACCCTGAGATCATGACCTGAGCTGAAATCAAGAGTTAACCACTTATCTGACTGAGCCACCCAGGCACCCCATGATAAACCCACTTTTTAAAAGGAAATGAAAAATAAATAATTTAAGCTAGCGGTTTCCTCTGGGTGGAAGACAGGAGGATAAAAGGGAGAAGAGTTCACAAGTTGAGTGTAGATTCAAAGATATATTTACTTTATCACTATGCTTCGAAACTCCTATGTGATCTGTGTGCATTAAATTTTTCATAAAAATAAATGTAAAGACTTTTGGAAAAATAAATCATGAATGTAAAGTATTAAGGTAATAAAATGTTAAGTATTAGATTTACAGTTGGTTAATTCCAAAACGCTGGTTAAATTTTTTAAAAAATCATTCAAAAAATATAAATACCTTAAGTGTTTTAACTTAAAACAGATAAAAATCTATTCACTTACCAACCATTTTTATAGAATCTATTAGTCCATAGATTGGAATTTACTTTCAACTTTTCCATGGCATTATTTTTCAGTGTATCTCATGATTAGCATTTTTACTTTCTAATTCAAACATACTTGTTATTTAAGTGATGAATAATATCTGATATATATATATATATATATATATAGGCTTTGTTTTAAAGATTTGAGAGACAGAAAGAGGAAGAGAGAGCACATAAGCAAGCAGGAGTATGGGGTGGAGGGGTAGCACCATTGCAGGGATTGATCTCAGGACCCTGGGCTGAAATCTAAAGTGGGATGCCTAAGTGACTGAACCACCCAGGTACCCCTTATATATGTATATGTAGTTTTATAACTGCTTTTCAGTATTTTCCTTTACAATTACGATTCTTTTCCATTCCTCATATTAAAGTTTTCATTAATTATTTTTTGCTCCTATGGGTTTAGAAGTCAACATTTTAATTCTGTTCCTTTAAAGAAACTCAAATTTTTAATTTGTACACTTAATTTACAGCCTAATTAATCAACAAACCTGTCCTCACTCACTCTTTTAAGATAAAAGAACCACAGAACATTTTAGCTGCCATCTTACATGCTGTTATCCTATAGGATCTACCTAGTATTCAAACTTTTTCACAAAGGCGCAGCACCAATCAATCAGAACAGGTGGCAGTAGAACAGCCTGAAGGTCCTTCTGCTATGCCCAGGCACAGGGGAAAATGGGTGGGAAGAGGATCCTAGGGACTCTCAATAGATCTTACATACTGTTCCAAGACGTGTGTGCTGGCTAAATACCAGCCCAGATGCTAACCTACTTTTTACTCTACACCTCCTTCCCTTGGTGAAGAAAACTTTGTTGTTATTATTATTGTTGGTGGTGTTGGCATTGTTGTTTTTATAAGCACTGATTATTTAGATCTGCAGAAGTGTTTGGAAATTTTGTTACTTCTTACAGCCTATTCCTTTCTTCTGAATTTTGTTTTTTTGCCAAAAGAAACTTTTACTCTAGTAATTTTCTCAAATAGGATATATGAGTGGTTGACTCTCATTTTTTGCTTAAGAGGGTCTTTCATTTTTGTTCATGAAAGATGGGTGAGCTGAGTCAAGAAGCCTAGACTATGATTTCACTTAGGTTGTCTCAAGTAAGTATATATATATATGCTATTCTCATTCATTCTAATCAGCCATCAATTGCACCATGAAGATAAGGATGCACTCTAATTCTTGAGGTGTTGGCATATGACAATTTTGTTTTAAAATCAATTAAATATGGTAGTAACATAATTCACTGTATGCAGTAGAAAAAGAATGAACTTTGGAACCAGGTAGAGTTCAAATCCTGACTTTGTCTCCTACTACTTGTGTGATTTTGTGCAAGTTAACTGACGTCTGGAATTCAGTTCCCCATGTGAAAAACAGGACAAATATCAATTACATGAAGGGTTGGCAAGTATTTCTATAAAAGGCCAGATAATAAATGTTATGGACCATACAATACAGTCTCTGTTGAAACTATGCAATTCTGCTGTTAAAGCACAAAAGCAGCCATTGATAATATATACTCCTCTGCCTTAAGTACAACAAATAATAAGAAATTTACATTTCTCCTTTTCTTCAATGTTTCTATGAAAGTTATAATTGGCACATATAATAATTCCCATGGAAGAAGTCAAAGTCCCATTAAGGAGACATAGGAATGAAAATTATACGCAGCTCCTTAGATTTCAATTTCCGAACATTTAATCCCCCACTTGTAATGACATTTGCTGGAATGCAGAGCACCTACATTTTCTAAAACCTAGGGCAAATCAATCTCTAGGTTTCAATTTCCTAACCATCAGTATGATTCAATTAGTAATGTCTCTTCCATATCCAAAATGCCAATTCCATATAATGGTGCTCAAAAGTATTTTCTGAATGAAAAATTGTCATTAAAATGTATTTGTGCATACCCATATGCCAAACTATAACAGATGCTGAGGTTATACAGCACAAAATATGTACTCTACCGCTCTACAGCAAAATTCAAATGACCATGAGGTTAAAATAAGGCAGTAGGATTTTCTCAGTATAGATCTTCTTAATGCCTTAAGGAAGAAAACAAACAAAAAGGTACATCAATACTTTTTGAAACGACAATATGTATGTCTGGGGAAAGAAATCAAATCCTGAAAGATTCCATGTCAATCAGCTCTATGTTTTAATTGCTTATAAAAATCCTTGTTAATCCCTTGTTGATAGCAGTACCTTTGAAAAAACAGCCAAGTATTTTATTGTGTCTGATCATTTAAACAATGTTAGCATTACATAAATTGTTAACATTTAAAAATACATTTGTGGGGGTTTTCCCCATAAAATCCAATACACTGAAAAAGATGAAAAAAAACAAAATTTGACATTTGAAACATACTTCACAGCATTTAAATCCAGTGTGGCATACAAGTAATATAGACACTTCATCCGTTCTGTAGTTTCCAAATTGTGTGGAACCATGTATTGGGCAAAGATGCGTTCAACAAGCAATCTGCAAAAACACAGAGAAGGTACTGTAATGATTTTTTTTTTAATGTATTGAATTTGTATATAAAATTCCAAAACACACAAAGGATACATATAAAACAAGTTTCTACTTTCTGTATGGAGATGAGATTTCAAATTGATGATTTCCTTCTATAAGAAGAGGGACTGAAAAAAGATTTAGCTGAATGTACTGGCAATAACTCTATACCCAGCTAAGATAACTACCTCTGCATAACCTTAAGTATATACGAGGGATTCAATTTCCTTATCTGAATAATAAAGTGTCAAAAAACCAGGTCCTTCCAAATGACAAATTCTAAGCATCTCTAAGTTAAAATTTCTAAAGACATAATAAGACTCTTCTGAGTTTTTATTCTTCTGAGTAAACATCATGAAAAGACCTGGTTAACAGTTTAAAAAAAAAAAAAGTACTAGCAAATAATGCAAATCTCCCATGCAATGATGTTGCACACTCAAAAAGTCTAAAAATGTTAATTTTATAAAAATAATACCTATAAAGTTTCTTAAATAAAGTTAATCTAAGATACCCAGTTTCTAGTTACTGTAACTCTTAAAATTGTAAGGTGGCCTACTGGTTCTTAATTTTCTCATTCTCATCTATTATGAGTAAGACCATTTGGATCTAAGAATTTAAAATAAATTCAAGCAAGTGAAATGAATTCTGCAAGCAGGATTCACAGATCTATTTACTACTAAATGGTTAGGATCCATACAAGATCTAACCTTATACTACAAAAGAAAAATATGATTATATTCAGATAATGTGTTTCAAATAAAACTATAAACTGTCTTTTTATCCCTCAGTAAAAACTGTTTATTTAAAATGTCTGAAATCCAAAAGCTGTACTTTCATTTACTTGAAAACATTTTATTTGAAAAATAACCTGTGAAATAAAATTTAAATGATTATACACATTTCTACTCTTAAGTACCGCTGTTTAAAAATAGTATACAAAAATGAACTTAAAAACTGTATCCCTCCTTAAAGGTATATGCACATTATTGCTTCATTTATGGCTTTGGTAGGAAGAAAACTAGTCACTCACTAGCTTTAACTTGCTGTAAAAACTGAGAGACTATAAAGTTATAAAGAAAACAGTTTACCTAAAACAAAAGATCAACAGCTAAATACATCAAAAGCACCATATATTTTACATATGGTATCCTTAACTTACCGATCATCAATACTATTTTGATAATATATATGTAGCAATTTGTCTTTGATCCATGAAATCTGTTTTGCAGCATCTTTTCCAGCTGCTGATTGTAAAGCATACTTCTTATAAATTTGGGCAAGTCCCATCATGGCTTCTTTGCGCACTCTCCACTTAAAGTAAAAACAAAAATGCTTTCTTAAAATTAAAAATGTTCACATTATATTTCAGGAAAGTCTGTTTTCTTGTTTTTAAGCTACTTTACACAATATTTCTTCATCACTCCTCAGTTACTAGATATCAATTTATAATGACTATGAAAAAAACACAACTATCATTTTAATATATCTACTATGTACGGTACAGAGATATCAACATGCAAAAACTTTTAATGCTTTAATATCCTAAGCCCATCATTTACCCCTAAAAAACAAACATTAATCACCATCACATGAAGTCACTGAAAATTGGTAAGAGAAAGTATGCTACAAAATTTTAACAGGCAAAGAATGAGTTAATTGTGACTTATCCCTTATACAGTTTTTCCATTTATGGTGTATATTAAATATACTTCAATTAAAGGTACTGACATTGGTTTTATCAAATGCTAAGTAAAGACACTCAGTTCATTTTGTATATCTGAGAATCAAGTTCAAGTGTAAGAGGAATGCATTCAACTATTTTCTTAAAATACGTATTTGCTAGTATATCTAATACTGCTTAATTATCTTGGGATGAGTTTATTCTTTAATTTTACAGAAACAGCACTATAATCAGTAAGATGTTAGTAATGTTTAGAACTTCATGAAGCTGCACAGATTTTTTTTTTTTCCTTTGCAGTCTGTCATTCATTGTATATTATTCCCTTGGTTTTTCTTTCAATTACTTACAGCAGATTAAGAACAGTCCTTATCTCATCCATCCACTGATACATATTGAAATAAAAGACTTCAAAAAGCCTTACTCATAAAATAAGACTTCAATATGTTTGTAGGAACTTTCTATTCTCTGTCTTATCTCTAATTCCCCAAACTGCTGCTTTAAGGAGAATTTAAAGATAGAGCATATTCTAATTCTGCCAAGAACATAAACATATTCCATTATTTTTTGATATTCAATATTTATATGAATCAACCAAGGAGGCCTATTATGAATACAACATTATCAAAAATTATATGAATTTATGTGAACCCAACAATACACAGATACTTAGCTCAAATTCCAAGTCTAACAAAGAAAAAGACTACTTGAACACTTAAAAGGCTGTTATCCTACCACAAGGCAAATCTCCTTTTCCTTCTTTATGCCTTTGGGACCTTTCATTAATACTCTATGAAATATTCAAAAAAGACAAGTCTAAATTTATTAGTTAAGATAATTTATTCCTAATACCTATAGATTTGGAGGGAAAACTATGCAATTCCTGCCCATCTGTCCTCTACCCACAAACAGCATTACCAAAGAGAGCATTAAATGATGACGACGGCACACCCAAACTTATAAGCAACTATTAAAATGATGTATTTGCTAGTCAAAACTATTCACAACTACCAACAGGCTTCCCGCTTTCTTTGTTAATTAACCCCCAAATACTTCAATGATTTTCATCCTTCACCAAAATTATTCAAGCCTAAATCCAGTAAAACCCACACCAGAAAGGAAAGGTAATGGGGATGAGGAGAGAATGAACATTCACTCACATACTTTACTGAGTGTCTAATATTGCCAGGCAATAAGAATACAAGAATAAGAAGACACTATACCTCTCTTAAGAAGCCACTGATTACTGAGTGCAGCTAGTGGGTGCTCACTCAAGGGGAAAGGTTTAGGGTCACAGAAGATAGGCTGGAAGCATGCTGCTCTGCCAGGTTTAGCTTTGCAAAGTTGAAAACATGTTATTTTCTACTCCACAGAAATTATAATACAACCAGCTAAAGGACTATCAACTGATACTCATGTGAAAAGAAACAGAAGAGAGTCAACAACAACATAAGAAGTTGTGCCAGAGGCCTTTACAAGTCATTTATTAAAACTAGTGTCCAGGCTAAACATCTGACTACCATTTAGAGCCCTCTCATTTTTAAGATGAGAACAAATAATCTCAATTTATAAACCTAACAAAACTTAATATAACAAAAAAATAAAATGTTCTCATAAATACTAATATTAAAATGCCTCCTAAAAAGGGCAAGTTACATTTAAATCTCAATATTTCCAAATGAAATACTACTAAACTTAAAGTATGCAAAGTAAAAGCTGCCTACTACTAATTATTATTCCTACTTACCCGTTTGTCTAATGTTCTCTCTCTCACAAAATTAAGTAAGTGATCGTTGACCAGAAGAATATCCTTTTTAGCAGCTGTAACTATGGACACAATAACATCATGTCTAATAGCTTCTTCAGGGTCATGTGACCTCACTTTAAGATATTCTGAAAGACAAAATTTTATTTTATTAAAATTGAACTTTAAGAATTAATATGTTTTAAAAGATTGCGTAAGTCCTTGGTAAGTAAACCACAACAAAACAAAACCTAAGTAGAAGGTTCAAAGTTTCAAAATTAAGAGCAGAGGAGAAAAGGGCATAGACATGAAGGTTAGTCCTTTAGTCAAAATATACTAGTTTACACGCAACTGAGTATTAAAACCCCTCCCCATCTGGGGGTCAGGGTAGTGTATTAAGGAGTTCTTAACCTCATTAATTAAACCATACAAATGAACTAAGAAGTATATGACTTCAAATATTTCATTTCTATTTTTATTTTTTTAAAAGATTTTATTTATTTGACAGAGATCACAAGTAGGCAGAGAGGCAGGCAGAGAGAGAGGGGGAAGCAGGCTCCCTGCTGAGCAGAGAGCCCAGCCCATGCAGGGCTGGATCCCAAAACCCCCGGGATCATGACCTGAGCTGAAGACAGAGGCTTTAACCCACTGAGCCACCCAGGTGCCCCTCTATTTTTGTTTAAATAGTTAAAATATTCAAGTCAAGTAGTTCTACTGGGAAAAAGCTAGAATATTTAAGCTTCTATCCCTTATCTGAGTAAGGTTTCAGAAAGAACAAAATTAAAATACCATCCACCAAGCAGTAAGATTACAGGAAACACCAAAAGGAAAGTCTATGTAATTAAACTAGAAAGGCAAAGGAAACATAGAAGAAATTAAACATTTAACAATTAGGAGTGACTGGAGGAAGACCTGAAATTCGGTCAAAAACATGGCAGTTCTGATCTGACACTGAGCTGAAAGAAAAAATTAACACTCTTCAGTAATGATATATTAGAGGCGTAAGGAAGAGGTACCACAACTGAACATGAACATAACAAATAAAATATCATTTCACTTTCTATTATAAGACCAGTAAGCTAAATTTTCATTGTTTGGATTTGAAGCAGTATGTCTAGCTATGCCTATATACAGCAAATAGTGCTTATGATTGTAAATGGATTTACTTCCCTATAAATTGACAGTTTAACAAATAATTACAACACAAACACCCATAAAACCACTGCCTAGGTTTAAGCATTTTCACCATGAGCATTCTATAACAGAAACTATCTCCAAAAATGAGAAAGACCATCTGTCATATGTCACCCCTCCACAAAAAAAAAACTTCTGAAGTGTAATTTTACCTAACTCAGTAAAGAAAGTTACTTTAAGTACTGATTTCAAATGAAGCCTGCTAAATACATCTCAAGTTCATTTCTCCACCAAGATAAACATGGGAGTTTTATCTTGCACTTTACTTGTTTCAAGTGCAATTGATATTATTCTTAGAGGCCACTAAGACGAAACCAATGAGAACACCATCAATTTTAAGATGCATCCCAATCTCCCTAAGTCATTCATATTAAACAGATATATACCAGAACTATTAACTTACAGATCCCTACTGTGCAGAGGAAAACAAAAGAGAAAGAGGAAATTCTTGGTAGTTAGCATGACAAAGCAGCTAATACTACTCTTCACAATATAGCCATGTCCCTCAAAATGTGGCTGAAGGCACAAGGATGAAGCTCACAAAAACACTGTCAAGAAAGGCAAGACAAACATGTGTGTCTAACATATATTAATCTTAGCTCACTCCTGAAATCCTAAGAAAATGTCTTTTAAAAGGGACAAGTATAAGAGAAAAGATCACAGCAAAACAGAGTTTTCAACAAAATTGTGGCAGATGTAGCACTTGTAAACAAAATGAAAAGATGAAATCCAAAAAGGAAGAAAATAATAAATAAGCTCATTTCCAGGGTAGAAGAACCATGAAAACATTTAGAAATTCAAGACACCAGCTGGAAATAGAAGGAATGCTTGAAATAGTGCACGTAAACTAGTTAGAACCTTAGATTTTTCAGGGCTATCTTTCAGCCAACTACAAAAAACATGCAGTTTATAGCAATACAGGCCTACCTCAAGAAGCAAGGAAAAATTCAAATAAACAATCTAACCTTAAAGCTAAAAGAGTTAGAAAAAACAAACAAACAAACCAAAAAGAGAAAGCCCAAACCCAGCAAGAAGAAGGAATAATAAAGATCAGAGTAGAAATAAATGATATAGAAACATAAAAAATAGAACAGATCAATGAAACCAGGAGTTGGTTTCAATAAATCTATAGCTATCAAAAAAACAAAAGGACTCAAATAAACAAAATCATTAATAAAAGAGGAGAAATAACAACCAACACCACAGAAATACAATTATAACAGATTTTTATGGAAACCCATATGCCAACAAATTGGACAACTTAGAAGAAATGGATAAATTCCTGGAAACATACAACCTACCAAAACTAAAGCATGGAGAAATAGAAAATAAATAAATAAAATAGAACAGACCAATTACCAGCAATGAAATTGAATCAGTAATCAAAAAAATCCCAAAAAACAAAAGTCCAGGACCAGATGGCTTCATAGGCAAATTCTACCAAAGAATTAAAGAAGAGTTAATACCTATTCTTCTCAAACTATCTCAAGAAAAATAGAAAAGGAAAAAAAAATAGAAGAGGAAGGAAAACTTCCAAATTCATTCTGTGAGGCCAGTATCACCCTGATACCAAAACCAGATAAAGACACCACCAAAAAAAAGAATTCTACAGGTCAATATCTCTCATGAGCATAAATGCAAAAATCCTCAACAAAATATTAGCAAACTGAATTAAACAGTATTTCTAAAAAAATCATATGTCTCAATGAAGTGGGATTTATTCCTGGGATAAGAGGGCAGTTTAATATTCACAAAATAATTAACTTGATAAATCACATTAATAAAAGAAAGGATAAAAATCAGATGATCAAGGGCTCCTGGGTGACTCAGTCAGTTAAGTGGCTGCCTTCGGCTCAGGTCATAATCTCAGTGTACTGGGATCCAGCCCCTGCGATGGGCTCCCTGCTCAGCAGGGATTCTGCTTCTCTCTCTCCCTCTGACCTTTCCTCCTCCTCACACTCACTCTCTCTCAAAAATAAATAAATAAAATCTTTTTTAAAAATCGTATCCTCGGGGCACCTGGGTGGCTCAGTGGGTTAAACCTCTGCCTTTGGCTCAGGTCATGATCCCAGGGTACTGGGATCGAGCCCCGCATCCAGCACTCTGATCAGCAGGGACTCTGCTTTCCCCTTAGCCCCACCTGCCTCTCTGCCTACTTGTGATCTCCGTCTGTCAAATAAATAAATTTTTTTTAAAAATCGTATCATCATTTCAACAGATGCAGGAAAAGAATCTGACAAAGTATAAGATCCATTCATGATAGAAATCCTCTGCAAAGTAGGTCTAGAGGGAACATACCTCAACATGATAAAGGCCTTATATGAAAAACCCACAGCCAACATCATACTCAGTGGTGAAAAACAGAGCTTTTCCTTTAAGGTCAGAAAAAACACAAGGATGTCCACTTCCACTGCTTTTATTCAAAATAGTACTCGAAAGTCATAGCCACAGCAATCAGACAACATAAAGAAATAAAAGGCATCCAAATGGATAAAGAATAAAAAGGCATCTATCCAATGGATAAGATAATCATTATCTCTTTAGAGAAAACTCTAAAGACTCCACCAAAAAATCACTAGAACTGACAAATGAATTCAGTAAAGTCACAGGATACAAAATCAATGTACAGAAATCTGTTGCACTCCTATACAATGAAGCAGCAGAAAGTGAAATTAAGAAAAAATCCCATTTAAAATTGCATCAAAAATAATAAAATATCTAGGAATAAACTTAACCAAAATAGTAAAAGCCTGTACTCTGAAAATTATAAAAATACTGATGAGATCAATTCAAGATACATGATACATGCATACATGATAAAAAGAAACAGAAAGACATTCCATGCTCACAGGTTGGAAAAACAAATACTGTTAAAACGTCCACACCACCCCAACGCAATCTACAGATTTAATACAATTCATATCAAAATACCAACATTTTTCACAAAACTAAAACAAACAATCCTAAAGTTTGTATGGGATTAAAAGATCTTAACTAGCCAAAGCAATCTTGAAAAAGAAAAACAAAACTGGAGGTATCACAATTCCAGACTTCGAGTTATATTACAAAATGGTAGAATTAAAATAGTATGGTACTGGCATAAAAATAAACACACAGATCAATGGAACAGAATAGAAAACCCAGAAGTAAACCCACATTTTATGACCAATTAATCTTCAACAAAGGAGAAATGAATATCCAATGGAAGAAAATCTCTCCAACAAATGGAGTTGGGACAGCTACACTGCAAATAAATGAAACTAGAACACCTTCTTTCACCAAACACAAAAATAAACTCAAAATGGATTAAAGACCTAAATGTGAGACCTTAAACTGTAAAAACCCTTGAAGAAAGCACAGGTAGTAATTTCTCGGACATTGGCTGTAACAACATTTTTATAGATAGTGTCTCTCAAGGTAAGGCAAACAAAAGCAATAATAAACTATTGGGACTATTTCAAAATTAAGTTTCTACACAGCAAAGAAAACAACCAACAAAACTAAAAAACAACCTAGAGAAGGGAAGAAGATAGAAGATAATGGCAAATAACATATCTGATAAAGGGTTAGTACCCAAAACATATAAATAACTGATACAACTCAACATCAAAACCCCCAAATGATCCAATTAAGTAATAGACAAGATATGAACAGACATTTTTCCAAAGACAAACAGATGGCCAAAAGATACATGAAAAGATGCTCAAATCACTCATCATCAAGGAAATCCAAGTTAAAACTATAGTGAGGTATCATCTCACACCTGTCAGAATGGCTAATATCAACAACCAAGAAACAAGAGGTCTTGGTGAGGATATAGAAAAAGGTAAACTCTCTTGCACTGTCAGTGGGAATGCAAACTGGCTCAGCCACTCTAGAAAACAGTATGGAATTTCCTCAAAAAGTGAAAAATGGAACTACTCTCCAAGCCAGTAATTCCACTATTGGGTATTCACCCAAAGAATAAAAAAACACTAATTCAAAGGGATACATTCACCCCTATTTATTGCAACATTATTTACATACAATAACCAAGCTAAGGAAAAAGCCCAAGTGTCTATGCATGGATGGATATGAAGAAGAGGTGGTATCTCATGAGATATTGACCTATAGAATTATTTTTTTTGGTGGTGTCTTTATCTGGTTTTGGTATCAGGGTGATACTGACCTCACATAAGAATTTGGAAGTTTTCCTTCCTCTTCTATTTTTTTTTTCCTCTTCTATTTTTTTGAGATAATTTGAGAAGAATAGGTATACACACACATACACACAGCAGAATATTATTCAGCTTTAAAAAGGAATGAAATCTTGCCATTTGCAAAACATGGATAAAGCTAGAGAATATAATGTTAAGCAAAATCAAAGAAAGACAAATACCATATGATCTCAGTCACATGTGGAATTTAAGAAAACTGATGAGCAAAGGAAAAAAATAGAGAGTGAAAGACAAACCAAGAGACTCAACTATAGAGAACAAACTGATGGTTACCTGAGGAAGGCAGGTAGGGGGATAGGTGAAGTAAGTGATGGGAATTAAAGGAAAAGACAAAACAAAACTAAAATGTGCCCAGAGGCTGAAAAGTAGGAAATCATAACACAACATAAATGTTTCATAAAAAAAGGAAACTACACACTATCTTTTGGTAAACATTCAAACATTCCAAACAATGGAAGGATTTAAAAGGTTATCGGTGAAATTATTCACATTTAAAATATATTTTAGATAGCTATAAAAAAATCAAAACATGGGGTGCCTGGGTGGCTCAGTGGGTTAAAGCCTCTGCCTTCGGCTCCGGTCATGATCCCAGGGTCCTGGGATCGAGCCCCGCATCCATCTCTCTGCTCAGCGGGGAGCCTGCTTCTTCCTCTCTCTCTCTCTCTCTCTCTGCCTGCCTTTCTGCCTATTTGTGATCTCTGTCTGTCAAATAAATAAATAAAACCGTTAAAAAAAAAAATCAAAACATGTATTATTTAGGTAACAGCGAACTTTGTATTAAAGTTCTGACTATGGAAAAATTACTTAATTTTTTTATACTTTAAAAAAGATCCAGAACATACACAGACCACTAAAAATCAACAAGAAAAACAAGCCAATTTTAAAAAGATGGATTTAAAATTTAAACACACACTTCACAAAAGAAAATTTCAATACACACATAAAAAGATACTCAATCTCATTAGTCATCAGGAGAATGCAAATTAAAACCACAATAAAACAGCAAGAACTATGAGAATGACTACAATCAAAAAGATTTATACAAAATGGTGACAAGAACACTGAAGAACTGAAGTCTAAATCATTTCTAGTCCAAGTGGAAAACTAGCTAATATGGAGAACTTAGTCATTTCTTATAAAATTAAACATGTATATTACCCTATAACCAGCAATTTCACTCTAAGTAATCAGAGAGAAATAAAAGCATAAATCCATAGAAACACTTGTAACAATACTCAGAGTAATCGTAATCTTAATAGCTCAAAATCAAAAACAACCCAGAAACCCATCAAACAAAAAAGTGAATACACAAATCGCTGTGTATTTATACAACAGAATATCACTCAATAATAAAAAAAGGAATGAAGTAATAATACAGGAGTCCCAAAGATACCAGCAACTAGACTTTTAAACTCCTGATAGGATCCTCTTCAGTGGGGAATCTGACCAGTTAAAGACAAGTATTTCAACTAAAGGTTTTCTAACAGAGAACCCGCCCAGGTCACCCTATATCGAAGTTCAGAATCAGCAATCCCATCTATACATTCAGGGCTTTCTAAACAGCTCTTTATTTAGTCCCCCACTCTTAATTATAGCAGAGAGCTACCGACTAACAAGCATTTGAGGAAAGCCTCTAACAGAAAATACAGACAAAGCAGGTGGGAAAAATAAGTTGACTAAAACAAACATTTTGTAGGAAAAAAATTCTCCAAAACACTATCATTAATTTTTTCAGAGAATAGTGCATCAGTAACACAAGAATAGAATGTTACAGTAAAAGGAATGTCCAGGGGAAAAGAGAAGGAGGAAGACAAAAGAGAAAGACACACACACACACACGCAGGAGAGAGAGAGAGAGAAGGAAAGGAAACAGAGGGAAGATGAAAGAGGGAGGAAGAACAGATCCTCTGAAGATCAATGCTATAAAGTAGAAGCTCAAAGAGCAAGCAGTCCAAATTCAGATATGAGTGGGCAGGTGGAGGGTTTCAGACATGGTATCACCCACAAAAAAAAGGATGAAAGTGAGAAATTCCTGCTGTTTAAACAGAATTGGTAGAAATTTAACAAAACCTGAAAGTATTACTATGACAAACTATTGTTAAAAATATTAAAGAGGGGCATGTGGATGGCTCAGTCAGTTAAGCATCTGTCTTCAGCTCAGGTCATGATCCTGGGGTCCCGGGATTGAGCCCCACATTTGGCTCCCTGCTCAGGTGGAAGCCTGCTTCTCCCTCTCCCTCTGCCTGCCACCTCCCCTGCTTTTGCTCCCTGTCAAGTAAATAAATCAAAAATCTTAAAAAAAAAAATTATGAAAGAATACACTTCATCATTTTATCAAAAGAAACTCAGAAGTGGGGCGCCTGGGTGGCTCAGTGGGTTAAAGCCTCTGCCTTCGGCTCAGGTCATGATCTCAGGGTCTTGGGATCGAGCCCCGCATCGGACTCTCTGCTCGGCGGGGAGCCTGCTTCCCTCTCTCTCTCTCTGCTTGTCTCTGTGCCTTCTTATAATCTCTGTCACATAAATAAATAAAATCTTTAAAAAAAAAAAAAAAAGAAACTCAGAAGGAAGTAGTAAGATTTAAGAAGCAACCGTAAGCAAGGACCATAAAAAAAATTTTTTTAATATACTACAAGTTGATAAAGTTTTAAAAAGAGTAAATAACTAATAACAAACAATAATGTAAACAATGGAAAGAGAACATGCAGAGTTAAAACTTTGAAGTTAAACCTTGAAGTTCCTTGATTGCTCAGAAAGAAGCTAAAGAGCTCTGATTAACTTTAGACTTCATTGATCAATTATGCAGTAAAAGCACAAAAGTGAAAATGTTAACTTCTAAGCCCCAAGGGAAAAAATAAAAAATGAAAACAAAGAAAAGTAAGCAATTAAGCAGAAAAGAGGAAAATAGGAGGGAAAAGAAAAAAAGCAAGAAGCATGAAAATAAAATACATAAGACAGTAGGAATAAGTTCAACTCCATCAAATTCAAATGATACCATTTCAATAAAATTTTTAAAAACACATAACAAAGGGATGCCTGGGTGGCTCAGTTGGTTAAGCAGCTGCCTTCAGCTCGGGTCATGATCCCAGTGCCCTGGGATTGAGTCCCACATCGGGCTCCTTGCTTGGCAGGGAGCCTGCTTCTCCCTCTGCCTCTGCCTGCCACTCTGTCTGCCTGTGCTCACTCTCACTCCTCTCTCTCTGACAAATAAATAAATAAAATCTTAAAAAAAAAAAAACCACACATAACAGTACCATATATCATTTATGGACAAATATACATGTGACATAGATAGAAAAAGAAACAGGATGCAGACCAAATTTAGTGGAGTAGCTACCCTCTGCGGAAACAGGAATAATAGTTTATGAGTGGCATTTCAACTACAATTTCTTTTCTTTATTAAATCTCTTAAGCAAATATAGCAAAATGAGGTAACATTTCTGAAGAAGACATAGCAGCTACTATAGTCATCTGTATTTCCCAAACAATTTCCTAATTTAAAAAAATTAAGGGTGCTTGGGTGGCTCAGTCAGTTAAACCTCTGCCTTCAGCTCAGGTCATGATCCTGGAGTTCAGGGATAGAGCCCCACCCATGGGGCTTCCTGCTCAATAGGGAGTCTGCTTCTCCCTCCCATTCTACCCACCCCCTCAACACTTGTGCTCTCACTTGCTCTCTTTCTCAAATTAATAAAATCTTTTTTTTTTTTAAAGATTTTATTTATTTATTTGACAGACAAAGATCACAAGTAGGCAGAGAGGCAGGCAGAGAGAGAGAGGAGAAGCAGGCTCCCCACTGAGCAGAGAGCCCGATGCAGGGCTCGATCCCAGGACCCTGGGATCATGACCTGAGCCGAAAGCAGAGGCTTTAACCCACTGAGCCACCCAGGCGTCCCTCAAATTAATAAAATCTTAATAAATAAATAAAATCTTTTCCTTAAGATTTTATTTATTTGTCAGAGAGAGAGAGCGCAAGCACAAGCAGTGGCAGGCAGAGGGAAAACCAGGTTCCCTGCTGAGCAAGAAGCCCAATATGGAGCTCCATTCCAGGACTCTGGGATCATGACCTGAGCCAAAGACAGACACTTAACTGAGCTAAGCAGGCACCCCTAAATAAGTGAAATCTTAAAAAAGAAAAGAAAAATTAATAGACAAGCAATATTCAGATACATGATATCTTTATTAGTATAAAAATGCAAAATTCTGAAATGCCTTGTAATTTATACAGATTTCAGAAAAGGGACCCCTATTTAACATAGTTAGTTCACAAATTAATGACATTTACCTAAGTTCTCAACACATTAAAGAAGAGTAAAGAATACCAAAGTGAAGTTCAAATCCAAACACCTAAAATATCTTTAGAATTGTTCTGAAATGAAAAAATTCGTATTGTTTCTGGTAAACTGACTTTTTATAGTGTGTTTCTAGACTAAAAGATATAAGGAATAAAAATTCTAGCTTCAGAGAGTAACTTCCATGATAATGAATTAAAAGATGACTTTACCCATCACAGTAACCAAAAAACGGGATTTTTTTCCCCATATACATAAAAGTGATTTTTTTCACCAAAGAACATCTAGGCATCTTTGCTATTATGGGTATATAATACCTGTTAAGTCCTTTGCTAAATCAGGATGGTTCATGAGACAATGACTAGCAAACTTCACACATTCCAAGCGGATTGGTACATGGATGTCATTAAACCTGATAAAATATAAAGGCACAGAACGTTCTTTAAAATAAGAGCAACAATTATGTGTTTAAAATATACACAATTTATATTTACTTCTCTAATTAAAAGAAAAAACAAGTTATGTAGAATAATTCAAAGCAAAGCTAGACTATTTCAACAAAGTTCTGATAAGCTATATATTTATGAATGCTTCAGAATGTCTACATTAAACCAGGACAATCTCCTATGAGAACTATGTACTTTTAAGGAGCTTGTGAAAACAACATGTTTGGCTCAAGCACAAAAAATGAGAATGACAAGATTTTTCCTATAAATATTTTTCTTTTAAATATATATGTTTATATAAGCTTATTTGTGTGCACAGGTCATAGATACATTATATAAATCCCATTCTTTCTTAAGTGTAGGGCATTCACAAAGTGTGGCAGATCTTGCACTAAAGCCCGTATTATTTTACAGGACTCTAAAACTGAGCCCAAATTAACTCCTATCCAGTTAAACATCACATTTCCACTAATACCAAAGTCAATTTTAAATGAAGAAGTAAATATCTTAGTATTTATCTCCAAAATATTAAAACTCTTTGAAAGATATGCAATTTAGGTATCTTTTAATTTTGTATTTCTCTTCCATCTTTTTTTTCCCTTATAATTTATTTGGTGAAGAAATTGTTCTCTTTGTGTGTGTAGTGTTTTCCCACAGTTGAGATTTCACTAATCTGTATTATCCTGGTTTCATTTAATAGGCTCCCCTTCTCTCCTAAATCTTACAAATTGATAGTTAGATCTAGACACTTAATTATATCCAGATTCACTGTTTCAGCAAGACTATTTCATAGATGGACTCCTGTTCCTCCATCATAAAGCCCATGATGTCCAGCTGTCCTAAACCATAATGTTGAAAGCCTGTATACACTAGTTCAGCCTGGACTACAAAAGAGTGATGTCTTTGAAAAATCTTGTTAAGTAACAAGAACATCAAAGTAAAGTGAGAATTTTCCATTGCATATTTTCATATATCTAATTCTGTAATATCAAAAGGTTTCCAAATCATCTATCACCCAATACCATAACAAATTCATAACATATAACAAATGTCATAACAAATATTATAAAGGAGAAAAAAAGAGATCTTCTAAACGAGCACCAAATTATTCATAAAAGCTTATTATAAGAGGGGCGCCTGGGTGGCTCAGTGGCTTAAAGCCTCTGCCTTTGGCTCAGGTCATGTTCCCAGGGTCCTAAGATAGAGCCCCGCATGGGGCTCTCTGCTCAGCAGGGAGCCTGCTTCCTTCCTCCTCTCTCTCTCTGCCTGCCTCTCTGCCTACTTGTGATCTCTGTCTGTCAAATAAATAAATAAAATTTTTAAAAAAAGAAGAGAAAAAAGAAAAGCTTATTATAAGAAAAAAAATGCTCCATGAAGTACACTCAAAAATAAGTTATAACACCTAGACTATGGTATCATATAGTTTCCAGACTGTTTTGAATCCAAGTACTTCAACCCTATGAACTTTACCATTTTCAACTAAACATATACCATTTCACCATTATAAATAAATATTATAAGACCTCTTTAAAAAATACTCTAGCTTCTTAAAAGTGGTAATAATCTGTGAGTTTCAGTTTGAAGACAATAATTTTAAAAGTAAAGGAAAAATTACAATGTAATGGAAATGTGACAAATTTTAACCTCCCAAATCAAGTCTGGATAATCCAAGTCCTGATTTAAAGATACAGTAAATGTCTATGAGTAAAACCTGTATTTTTGTTTTACCACATTAAGTGGACTCTAAATTAACTGGTATAATTTAATTAAACATATAAGCTATTCTGCTCTACTGCCCAAGAACTTTCCACTGTATTTAAAGGAAAAGAGTCTAGAAAGCAAACTCAAAATGACAATAGACTAAAATTTATTCATTTAACGCACTCTGTCAAATACTATTGAGCTATATAAGCGATAAGAAATCAGATTAAGAATTTAGCACTTAGCAAGCTTATAGTTCATTTAACAAATTAGAAAAATAAGGCCAAGAGAGATTAAATTTATTATAATCATGACAGTTCTAATATTAAGATGGAAAGAAAAGTGGTTATAACATGCAAATATTTCAATATAAAAAGAAACAGAGTATGAGTTTTTAAATCCTATTTATTTGTGACTTAACTGCATTATTTGTTATGAAAAAAATTTAAGCAGAGGAAAAAAAATTCTCCTTTATCTTCTGGGTCAAAGTAGGTTTCAGCCAGGGCACTTTAAGTGGTTTTAATATATTCAAGGTCAAGGATACCTTTAAAAACATAATTGAACCCTTCTCAAAGAAAAAAGAAACAAACAAATACACTCAAAATTTTGCAATTTCACGATTGTGAACATTAAAAGCATATATATTATCCCAGGCTATCACTTCCTTTAAAAGAGAAATGTACAAAGGAGGTTAGGAGGAAGACATACATATCATTTATTTATTCATTCTGTGGATACCCATGCATTTTACAATGATTTATTTTCACTGGAATGAATCACTGCTAATGTACTAACACATTTTAATTTCATGACTATAATACTTTCTGAGATAGCTTTTTAAGCAAATCATCTTTCAGAAATTATTAAGGGCAAAATAAGATGAAAACAGAAAGGGAAATTGTAAATATGGCTAATCAGTACTAACACTCAAAAATTTCAAAATATAAAACCTTCATTTTTATAATTTCAGGAAAATATTAAAATATGGATGACATTTTTAGATAATATAAATAGATTAAAAACATTTATTACTTTTAAACAGGACACCAAAATCATATACCTGCCCAAGTAACACTGCCAAAGTGGTTTGTTTTGAGAAGCCAATTCTGAATCCTTCGCACCAAACATTTTTGCCAATAGTTTAACAACTTGTAGACGTTCCTCATTATCATTGCTCTAAACAAAAACACAAACAGCTTTAAAGCCATCAGGTAGATATAGTCACAATAATTTTCCCATGATCTTCCTCATCTCCAATTCCACAGAAAAACTTTCATGAGCTCCAGACGAAAAAGTATACATAAAAATGTTCAATATGCGTTACAAGAAATAAACCATTAAATGTTCTAATCAGCTTGTTAAAGTATACTTCCTATATGAAAATACATCCCAAAGTTTGATTAAATGTTAGAGACCCCTCTTGATTTTGAGGCTTATTTCCATTCACAGTCAAATTCAAAAATTAACTACATCAAAGTTATGCAGGCCCTTGAAAAACTGTTTTTTAAAAAATAGCCATGAAGAGGCCAGGCCTACAGTAAACAGAAAGTTCTGTATGATTGTACTGGTTAAGCTCTTTGTAGAAATAAATATGTGAAATCTCCCAAAAGAAGAATCAGTTCACCTACACATACCAGATCCATAATGAAGTTCACCAATATGATGAAGCCTTGCATGCGCAAAAACTAATTTCTGCTTTATTTATTCTATTATGGGTAGGTAGCAGGAGACAGGAACTCAATTTTATTATTGATTTTGGTACCTCCAACAAATGACAAAATGGTAAAATGACTGAACTAGCCACAATACTACACTTGAACATAAAATGTGACCATATCAAAAAACAATGATATTCAAAGTGCTATGAAGACACTGTACACTGTTGGGTTTTTTTTTTTTTTAAACCAATGCCTCAGCCTAGTATTAAGAGCTCCCATAATATGACCTAAGTCATCTCTGTTATTTCTCTCCCTAGTCCTCTAAATAAGTATTTTTCAACCCCAGAGGCACATCAAAATGCTCGCTAAATGTGGCTATGTGTGTACACACACACAGGAATATTACTCAGCCCTCAACAAGAATGAAACATTGCCATTTGCAATGACATGAATGGAGCTAGAATGTATTATGCTAAGTGAAGTCAGTCAGTCAGAGAAAAACAAGTATCATATGGTTTCACTCATATTTGGAAATTATGAAATAAAACAGATGGACATATGGGAAGGAGAAAGAAAAAGAGAAATGGAAGCAAACTATAAGAGACTCTTAATGACAGAGAACAAACTGAGGGTTAATGGAGAGAGGTGGATGGGGCGTGGGCTATATGGGTGATGGGTAGTAAGGAGGGCACTTGTAACGATGAGCACTGAGTGTTCTATGTTAAGTGATGAAACACTATATTCTACTCCTGAAACCAAAAATACACTATGTTACCCGAAATTTAAATAAAAATTTGGAGGAAAAAAATTAAAATAATAGTAAAACACATTTGTTTCCTATGATTAAGAGTATCTTGTGGTTTGTCTCCCTCTCTGGTTTCATCTGGTTTTATTTTTTCCTCCCTTCCTCTATGATCCTGCCTTATTTCTTAAATTCCTGAGATCATATAATACTTGTCTTTCTCTGACTTACTTCGCTTACCATAATACCCTCTAGTTCCAACCACGTCATTGCAAATGTAAGATTCCATTTTGACAGCTGAAGAGTATTCCATTGTGTATATATACCATGTCATCTTTATCCATTTATCTTTTAATGGACATCTGGAATCTTTCCATAATTTAGCTATTGTGGGCATTGCTGCTATAAAAAACATTGGGGTGCAGGTGCCCCTTCAGATCACTACATTTGTATCTTTGGGGTAATTATCCAGTAGTGCAATTGCTGGGTTATAGGGTAGCTCTATTTTCAACTTTTTGAGGAACCTCCATACTGTTTTCTTTAGATGTTGCACCAGCTTGCATTCCCACCAACAGTCTAGGAGGGTTCCCCTTTCTCCACATCCTTGCCAACATCTTGTTCCCTGACTTGTTAATTTTAGCTATTTTGACTGTTGTAAGGTTATATCTCATTGTGGTTTTGATTTGTTATTTCCCTGATGTCGAGTGATGTTGAGCATTTTTTCATGTGTCTGTTGGCCATCTGGATGTGTTCTTTAGAGAAATGTCTGTTCACGTCTTCTGCCCATTTCTTGACTGGATTATTTGTTCTTTGGGTATTGAGTTTGGTAAGTTCTTTATAGATTTTAGACACTAGCCCTTTATCTGATATGTCATTTGTAAATATCTTCTCCCAAAAGAAGAAAAAATAAAACAAGATGAAACCAGAAAGGGAGACAAACCATAAGAGACTTTTAATCTTAGGGAACAAACTGAGGGTTGCTAAGGGGAGGGAGGTGGAAGGATGGGGTAAGTGGGTGATGGACATTAAGGAGAGCATGTGATGTAATGAGCACTGGATATTATATAAGACTGATGAATCACTGACCTTTACCTCTGAAACTGATAATACATTATATGTTAATTAATTAAATTTAAATTGTAAAAAATATGTCCATGTCTGTTCATACTAGCACTATTCATAATACATAGCAGCATTATTTATAATAGCAAAGGGTGGAAACATAAATGTCCATCAACTGATAAAATATTTTATTACCCATACAATGAAATATGATTTAGCAATTAAAAAACAAAGATGTGGTCTATATATACTATGGAGTATTATGCCTCCATCAGAAAGGATGAATACCCAACTTTTGTATCAACATAGACGGGACTAGAAGACATTATGTTGAGTGAAATAAGTCAAGCAGAGAGAGTCAATTATCCTATGGTTTTGCTTATTTGTGGAGCATAAGAAATAACAAAGAGGACATGTGGAGATGGAGAGGAGAAGGGAGTTGGGGGAAATTGGAGGGGAAGATGAACCATGAGAGACTGTGGACCCTGAAAAACAATCTGAGGGTTCTGGAGGGGCAGGAGGTGGGAGGTTGGGTGAGCCTGGTGGTGGGTATTATGGAGAGCATGTATTACATGGAGCACTGGGTGTGGTGCATAAACGATAAATTCTGGAACACTGAAATTTTAAAAATAAATAAAAATTAAAAAATAAATAAATAAATGAAGTCCTGGCACAAACTACAACATGGAAGAACCTTGAAAACTTTACGCTAGGTTAAAGATTCCAGTCACAAAAGATTATATATGCTATGATCCCATTTATAGAAATGTCTAGAAGAGGCAATCTATAGGGACAGAAAGTAAATTAGTGATTGTCTTGAGCTGGGTTCCTGGAGGAACAGAAGGTCACCACTAAAGGGTGTAAGATTTCTTTCAGTGGGTGATAAAAATGTTCTAAAAATAATTGTCATGATAGTTGCATGACTGTGAATATGTCAAAAAATACTGAATTGTACACTTTAAATGGGTGATTTTTATGGTATTTGAATTATATTTGAATAAAGCTATTACAAAAAGAAAAGTAAATAATAATAAAACAATCTTAAAAAATGACCTCTAAAGCTCTAAAAAAATTAAAAATTAAAAAAAATAAAAATAAAAAAAACTGAACGCCTGGACTCTACTGCCAAGAATTCTGATCAAAACAACTTATCTGGTTTAATGCCCGGACATCTGTTTGCTTACTAACGCTCCACAGGTGAAGATTCTAATGTGCAGTCAGGGATGATTTAAGCTTACTTTATGCCACCATCCAACTGTAACTCTTTGTGTTCCACAAATTCACCCAGCATCTTCCTACCTCTATATGCTTCTATATCTGTTTCCTTTGTTTCAGTTGCATGCTGTTTATCTTTTAGCATACTTAGGATATCTGGCTAATTAAATCTGAATTTTTCTCCTCTTCCTCACTAGCTGTTAGACTTGCTGAAAACAAGGATGATAATTCCTTACTTTCTATATTTCTTACAGTATTCAGTATTTTTGAAGAAAATTAGACCAGGGGCACCTGGATGCTTCAGTCAGTTAAGCGTCTGCCTTCGGCTCAGGCCATGATCTCAGGGTCCTGGGATCTAGCCCTGCATCAGGCTCCTCGCTCAGCAGGAAGCTGCTTCCCCCTGTCCCTCTGTCTGCTGCACTGCCTACCTGTGCTATCTCTCTGCCAAATAAATAAATAAAATCTTAAAAAAAAAAAAAAATCAGACCAAGAAAAAAGAAGTATGACTGCCTTCTGCCTCATCAAAATTGCTAACTACATGGGAAAATATGGTGCAGTTGGGACAGTGAATCAAGTGGGTCACTTGAAAAATACACCAAAAATACACCCCAGAATAAAATGAGAACAATCACTTGCTAGTTTTGTGTGTTATTCACGCTACAAATACAGATTGTTTATTTTCTTGTTTTAAAAGAGACAAATCAAAATTTTTACAAACAAGAAATATAACATGGAAATCATTTAAGAATTTCTCTGGGTGGTACATCAGGTTTCATCAAAGATGATTAATTATAACCAACTTTTTAAAATCTTCCTGTAATAATTTGAAAGAGGAAACTCTATTCCCCAAATCTACAAATGAAACTCAATTTTATGGCATAATTTAATGTCAAGGCAACAGGAACATGCCACCAAAAAAGAGAACTACGTGAAAAGTAACAGAGTTTCAACATAGGCATAAGATAATATCCACAAGGGGAAAATATTTCACAATATGAGGACAATAGACCCTAAACTATTTTTATGGTGTAATCAAGGGATCTTGGAAACCACTATAAACTGTGCCTTGAAAAGAAGCTTGATGTATAGCTAGACCTCAAAAATTGGTCACAATCTAGAATTTATCTGGAAATTATCTGAAGGAAAATACCATCATTAATTAAGTGGCTACTATCTGCTAAGCACCAAGCCAGGCATTGCAGATAAGCAAAGAAGTAAGGTACAAACATGTAAATAAATGTAACATGTAAATAAATAACATAATACACCATCACATCTGCAGCATTCAGGTAAAAGTTCCAAAAGAATTAAAGAGCCACAAATAATGCTCTTTGCTAATCTGGTTGACAGAACCATAACATTTTTAAAATAGTTACCTTTAGTTTAAATTCAAGTTGGGGTAAAACAGAGAGCAGCAAATGACTATCAATATTATAGAGCTCCAAAATTAAGTCAAACACATGCTCTGACAAATCGCTGATAGACGTTTTTCCAAGCATCAGAACCTGATTAAAAAACTTTTAAGAAAGAAAATTTATTATTAATAGCAATGCCATAGATAAAATTAATTTTCTAAAATCTTAATTATCATTCAATTAAATTCATTATTATTCTATACAAACTCAAACAAGGGTTAGCAAAACATTTTCTAATAGTAAGTAGAAAACAACTACAGGCTAGTGCACCTTGCACATGAAACTCACCTCATATACAATAAAAGGTAATTTGTACTAATTTATCAATTAGCTTATCAATCAACACTCTACCTATCAAATGCACTATTTTCCCCATTATGGTACTTACTGTATTTTATCCTGTAAGACGGTTCTATTTGTGTATATGTCTTAATTTCCCTACTAGATAAATTTCTTAAAGTCAAGGGATCACACCTTGTTCACCTTAGCATGTATGGGAGACAACAGCATTAAAGACAAAACTTTGCACCTTCCATAGACAGAGCCAATTCCATTTTTAAAATATGTAATTTTATAAAGCAAAACAACCTTTTTCTAATCCTCTGTCTTCTTTTAAATTCTGATAAACAGTATATATATATATATATGTACAAAGTTTACAGCACTAATTAAAATCCAATTAAAAGCACACATACACGGAAAATCCAAATTTGAACAATTTTGTTTCCATTAGAAACCAGCTATAACTAGTTTCCACATTCAGATCATTCATCATATTACTACTAAAACTGGTAAAGATACATGGCATAATAATCCAGTTCCTTTCTATTTAAAGTCTTCAAATTCATAAAAAAATTAACCCAGAGAATATACAACATATTCTCAACAGTATCTTATGTCTCTTCAAAAAAGTAGTTTAAGGATTTTTTACACCATATAAGCCCTGAGCACTACTCTCAGTATCAGTTAATAAAACCTGACTTAATATGGAAAGTACAAAGTCAAATATTTCACATTTCTATGTCTTTTCTGCTTGCTTTAACTCTTAGGCTATTCTTACATGAAGTTTATGTCTATGAACCTATACAGACTACCCAGCTATGAAGGGGAGAAAAGAACAAATTCCATGTTACTATTCCTTTTTTTTTTTAACCAGTTTTAAAAGTAATTTGTTTGTTGTCCTGGTTTATCAACATTGTAGGAAAAGAATTTCATGACATCAAAGGTTAAATTCTCATTCAGGCTGAAAATCAAATGACTTTGTTTCCACTCACAAAATATCTCCTGCTTAAAAATAGTAAATCTAACCTTTCCTTAACAAGACCAAATAATCCTTTCCAATCTGGCCACCTTGTGACATGATGTATCTTTATCAGTCTGGGGAAACCAAATTTGAAAATTTAAAAAAAAAAAAAATGCTGTAGTCTATTAAGTATGCCAAAGCATTGTCTTTAAAAGAAAAAAAAAGCCATATATATATATATATATATATATATATATATATATATATATATACATACATACATACATACAGCGATTTAAAAATACTTTATTGCTGGGACACCTACATGGTTTGGTCGGTTCAGTGTCTGACTCCTGATTTTGGCTCAGGTCATGATCTGAGGGTCGTGAGACTGAGTCCCACGCTTGAAGCCTACTTACGATTCTCTCTCTGCCCCTCCCCACCTGCTCGCTCACTCACTCTCTCAAAAAAAAAAAAAAAAAAAAAGAAAGAAAAAGTTCTGATGAAAAATAAAATTACCAAGAAGTGATCCAGGCAGAAAATTTTTGGTCCCTATGCACTTTTTGTGTCTGATAGTTTGACCTTTTCAAAAAATACATACTTTTTAGTTTCTTAAGTTGTCAAGTAATGACAAATTTTACTTTTTAAAAAATAATCTTTTTTTTTTAAGATTTTATTTATTTATTTGACAGACAGAGATCACAAGTAGGCAGAGAAGCAGGCAGAGAGAGAGGAGGAAGCAGGCTCCCTGCTAAGCAGAGAGCCCGATGCGGGGCTCGATCCCACGACCCTGAGATCATGATCTGAGCCCAAGGCAGAGGCTTTAACCCACTGAGCCACCCAGGCACCCCTTAAAAAAATAATCTATAATAACAACATAAAATAATAATCTAAAGTAATAATCACAGTGATTTAAGTCCTAAATATGTAAGAATCACTATAAAGAACTTGAAATGTGTCTCTATCATATCCCTAATAGTGGAAAAAAAAAAAAAGTAAGTAAAAAAGAGATAGAAATGTGGTTATTATTACCTCAGTATCCTACCTGTACTTTTGCTTGTTAATTCTCTACTACAAAGATAAATGAATAATGGCTACTACATGTACAAGTTCAAAAAACCTAAGAATTATTTTAATACTGTAATTCATTTCATCTTACAAGACAAGATCACTAGGTCAAAGTTTGAAGTAGAAAAAAAGATGTATAAGGGAACTAAAGAGGGTGAAAGAAAGCAATTCTTAATGATGTCTTAGCTAACCATCAAATAAAGCAAGGAACAAGAAGAGATTAAACAATGGACAAAGTATGGGTAATAAAATACAGCTGGAAGTGTGCTCGGACCTTCTACTAATTTTGTGCCTCTCGCCCCTCAGCTTCTGATAAAGATAGTATGGAGAGGGCAGTTCTACCTCTGCAGGCAAGAACTAAGAACAAGCAATTAACATAAGATATTAGTGATAGGGAACTGTAAACACCTGAGATTCCTAAAAGTATTTCTCCGGTCCTTTTTCTTTTAGCTCTAATAATAAATATTTTCAAATATAAACATATGCTGAGAGGATAGTATAATGAACCTAATCACCTAGCTCCAACAAACACCATCATTCCATCTTGGACCTTACTTTTTTTATTACCAATAAAATATTTATTTCCCCAATTCTAGAAAAGATATTAACATGGTATAGTGTTATTTGTTTTTGTTCCGTTTTGTTTTGTTTTGCCAGAAAAAAAGTCAAAAAAATTTAACTGTTCCCCTAAAAAACCATCTGGCAATACCAATGTAAATAAGTGACCACCAGGAGGAGCTCACCTAGTGTATCTAATAGGCCATGGAGATAGTCATTCAGATGCTCTTGAAGCAAAGGAAAGGGGAAGGTTAATTAATCACACACAAAAGCTTAAGTCTGAGTCTACACAATTCAAAAGCCATCAAGTCAATAATGAAAAAAACTCAACCCACTCAGTCCAACCAATTTATTCTGGCTGATACCCAAGATTCACAAAACTAGCAGAAATCATTATTTAGACTTCCCTGCCAATTTGGAGTATTAAGATAGATTACACAATTTGTCCAGGTTCTCAAAGTTCACCCTCCGAAACAATTTTCTTACAAATCAAACACATTTTTCCAAATCATCATGTGTTTCGAATTATTTAAGGCCATAAGCCAGAAACAAAAACTAAGATTTACCAAGATGCTGTTCTATAAAGTTTGTTACTTTTCCAAAGCACATCTTTTCACGATGTATTTTATATATGAATTTCATTTTTTATATACTACAGGAAATATGCTCTTTCAATAAACTTCAGGCAAATACATAAGTGATTATAAATGACTTTGTTTCTCACTTTTTTCTAAGAGACAGACTTACATCCTTTACATAACTGAAGGTGGGTGAAAGTGGAAAGTAAGTAGAGAGAAGTGTTACATAAGGCACCATTCATGTGAATACTTTCCATATGAATGGTGCCCTCTAGAGTTGTGCAACTCAATAGAACTATGGAGAGAAAATAAAACTTAAGCTTTTATCATTGAACCTATCAACTAAAATATATTTCTTCCGAAAATAGCTAAAAGATGGTCAATTGTAAATAAGCAGATTGGGATGATATTGGAAGGGCTCTTTTCATCTCAATTCTTTCCCTTTTTCAGAAAAGGTTGAGGTACATGATAGCAAGACAGACAACTGTCACCAAATTGCTGCCATTCATACTTGCCTTCAACTTTAAAGTCTTGATATTAGTTCATATCTATTTCTTGCATAAACCAATTTAATCTCCAAAAAGCTGTAACTTCCCTGAATAATGAGAAGTTCCATATGTTTTACCTAATTACATTTAGCTCTATTTGGAACATTAGAAACAAACAGTGTATCTTGCGAATCAAAATAAAAGTTATTTTAATTTTTAGGCAATTTCAAAGAAGCAAATGAATGAACAAACAAGATGCTAGCTAACCTTCCATATAATAATAAACAAGAATAATTTTAAATAAGGAGAAAGAAAATATATCATTTAATGATTAAAACAACACAAAATTTCAAAGTATGTACTACCTGCCAAAATTTTGCTTCTAGCTATCTTTAAAACGTTGGCTAATCCTTCTGACAGTCAACTACAAGAAAGACTTACATTGGTAATATATGGTTCAATAGCTTGAGCTGTCCTCTTCAGTAAAGCCTTTGCCAAATCATACGCTTGCTTGTTTAAATTCTGAAAAACATAAACAATATCTATTAGACATCTCTAACCATGAAAAACAAAATATTACCTGTATTCCAAAAGGTACTCCTGAGTAAATGAATGGGAAAACTAAAACTCAGAATAAAAGAGAAAGGAAAGCCACCTTTCTTCTTTTAAGACTATGAAGTGCGTTAGGCTGACGATTCACAGACCTACACCCCTGGGGCAAATAATACATTATATGTTAATAAAAATAATTAATTTAAAAAAAAAGACTAACTGGTCTACCTAGATGATAAGATCCCTTCCAAGAAAGGATAATTACATTGTCTTCCTATCTCATTCACAACATAAGGTAAACCACACAGAAAAGACCAATAAATGTTTATTAGATAGAAGAGGAGACAGTGATTCTAAACATAGTCCCGAAGTCAAATCAGTTCAGCTGAGTACAAATACAGGTTGTTTTACCCAGGTCCAGAAGAACCAAAATATCCTAAAAGAATGAACTGGATTCTAATGTGAACAAGAATGGGGGGCTGACAGGTGGGGAAAGACAAGAGTTTGGGGCAACTATGCGACAGGAGATTTACTCAAGCACATCTCAGAGCATAGATAAGGTCAATGATACATCAAGAAACATAAGAAACAGTAAAATATGAAAAGAAAAAAGGTACAAGAAAAAATATCTTAAGAAAACATGTTTCTAAGAGATTCTGATAATGACAAAAACAATCAAGACCAAAGATCTAAAGGAGAATTGCCATTACGATTTAAGAACATTACAGAAAACAGGTACACTGTAAATACCCTAAAACTCACATTTAGCATATTTTTAGATTTACCTGCATTGATGCTTCCATTGAATTATTTCATTTCTAATTGCTGTTCAGTATTTTATAATATACTATACCTTATTTATGCATTCTCCTGTTCACAGACATTAAATCATATGTCTTATACATGTTCCCTTTGCATATAAGAAATAATTTTCTGTAAATTCCACCTCTGCCATTTTTCACATGGGCTTTTTTGTCCTTATTTATTTGTAGAGTTTCTCTATAAATTCTACACACTAAACCTTTGTCAATTTTGTGTAAAACATATCTTAGTCTACATTTGTTTTTTCCACATTGTTCATGGCATTTTATTTATTTTTTTTTTAAAGATTTTATTTATTTATTTGACAGACAGAGATCACAAGTAGGCAGAGAGGCAGGCAGAGAGCGAGGAAGGGAAGCAGGCTCCCCGCTGAACAGAGAGCCCAATGCGGGGCTCGATCCCAGGACCCTGGGATCATGACCTGAGCCGAAGGCAGAGGTTTTAACCCACTGAGCCACCCAGGCGCCCCATTCATGGCATTTTAGAGACAGAGAAGTTTCTTAACTTAATGTCACCGAATATTTCAATATTTTCCTATTTGGCTTGTGCTCACTGTATCTTTCTTAAGAAATTCTCCTCCACAATGAAATTTAGATGTTGCTTTATATTTTCAAATAAAAATTTAAAGATTTGTTTTTCAGATTTAGATCTTTATTCTCCCTGTAATTTATTTTTATGTATGGTATAAAATAATATTATTTTCCATATGGATTTTTGTCCTAAAACCAGTAATTAAATAGTCCATTATTCCCTCCAGTGACCTATAATATACACACTCTCAAGTTTCTATATAACTATGGAGCCACCTGTAAATTCTCCATTACTTCCATTATGTCCCTTTGTCTATTACTGCCTGATTATAGTCAAAGGGATATATGGAAACAGTGTCTTAATACCAGGAGGTAGATTAAGTCTCCACTTTCTATTCCTCTTCAAGAATGGTTAGCTATTATTGGCCATTTGCTCTTCAATGTGAATTTAAAATCAGTTTGTCAAATCACCCACACACCTTCAAACTTTCTCTTTGACTGGATTATCTATTCCTATGCAGAAATCTGGCATCATTATGATACTGAGCTTCCTATCCCATAAATATAACAAATCATGAAGCTAAGTTAAGTCCTTATACTTTTTAGTCAACTATAATGATTTAACATAAAGTTGCACATTTTTGTGAAATTTCTAAGCAGCTCAAGTCATTGTTAAAGCTACAAATTTATTAAATTATACCAACGGCTTTTCATATATTGAACTTATATCTAGCATCCTTGTAGAATTTTCTTTGTTCTAGAAACTTATCTGTATATGGTTTTGTGTTTTCTACAGTCATATTATCAGCAAATAATTTCAGTTTATTTCTTCTTTCTGATCCTTTTATTCTTTTTATTTATCTCATTTTATTTCACTAACTTAAGACTCTAATTAATGCTGATTAGAAATGGCAGTGTTGCCTTTTTCCTGAGAAGTGTTACTAAACTTCAAAAAAATATGCTTCAGCATTTCACCATTAAGTACAGTATCATACTTGTCCTTATCACTCTATGGAAGTGTCTTTTTATTTCAAATCTGCCAAGAGGTTTTATCATAAATCATACTGAATTTTATCACATGCCCTTCTTCTACATCTATTGATACTTTTTTCTTTGATCCATTAATTTACACAAATATCTTAGTCTATTGTTAACATTTTCTAATGTTAACCTACCCTATATTCCTAAAATAAAGCTAATTTGCTCATTAGCAATACTAATTTATGCCATTCCAAATGCTACTATTTTATGTTGAATTTATGTGATTGTAACTTTAAATTAAATTAGCCTATGATTCTTCTTACTTGCTTGGTTTTGTCTAGTTTCCCTATGAAGATTATATTCCACTCATAAGGCGAATTGTGGAATATTTCTTCCTCTTCTATAATTTGGAAAAGTTTGCTTGATATTAAGATTGTAATACTACTCAAATGATTAGAAGGTATCTCCTGATTCAGTTTAAGTTCTTCTGTGTTAAGTCTGTGTTCTGCTGCTATTGCTTTCACTATGGTTGCTACTGTTGTTTAGGAGGAAGGGATTTTGTTCATTTTATGGATACAGTATTTAAAACCAATTAGATTCCTTTTGCTGGTTAAAGGTTATTCAAGATCTTCTCTTGAGACAAGTTTGGCAGGTTATATTTTCTAGGAATTTCTTTTACCTAATTCCAAGTATGTTACCATAAAATATTCTTCATGGAATTATCTTTTTATTTTTTTAACGTCTGCTGTTCCCATTTCATTCTAAAACTGTATATTGATCCCATCTCCTTTTTTCTGATTCAACTTGCCAAGGATTTGCTTAATAGATTTTTCAAATTGCCAACTTTGAGATTTTGTGAAATGTCACTGTATTTTTTTTTCTTTTAAAAATTTTATTTATTTGAGAGAGTGTGAGAGAGAAAGAGAGAGAGAGAAAGAGAGCATGAACCAGGAGAGGGGCCAAGGAGCAGACTCCCTGCTGAGCAGGGACCCCCCCCCCCCACCCCCAATGTAGGACTCAATCCCAGTACTTCAGGATCAAGACCTGAGCCAAAGCCCAGACTGAACCACCCAAGCACCCATCACTATATTTTCTATTTCATTGACTTCTGTATTTCATTCTTTTCTTCCTTACATACTCTGTATATTCTGATATTTTTATAACTTCTTGAATTGGACACTTAACTGATAAAATTAGACTTAAAAAACATTTTAAGTTATATCCCACAAGTTTTAATATGTATCATTTTAATTATCATTTCTAAATATTTTATAATTCCCATTATGATTCTTTTGATAAATTATGGTTGCTATAAATTTGCTTTTGCTTCAAATCCTTAATATTCTTATAATCTACTGATCTACTTAATTTATAATCACTGAGAGAAGTGTTAAAATGGCCCACCAAATAGTGAGTTTGTTTCGTTCTCCTTATAACTCTTTCAATTTATGCTTTATCTATTTTCAGCCTATGTACGTACAAGTTTTAATATCTTCCTGAGAACTAAACCTTTTATCCTACAAATTCCTTCTTTACCCAGTAAAGACTATTACATCTAACAACAGTACAAGCTGCTTCAGTTTTAAGTTAATAAATTCCTGGCAAGTCTTTTTTCCATCCTTTTATTTTATTTTTTTTAAGATTTTACTTGTTCATTTGAGACTGAAAAGATATAGAGGGAGAGCATGAGCAGGGGAAGAGGCAGAGGCAGGGGGGAGAAGCAGGGAGCCCACACAGGTTTGAGTCCCAGGACCCAGAGATCAGGACCCAACCCCAAAGCAGACGTTTAGCCATCTGAGCCACCCAGGCACCCCTTTCAATCCTTTTAAAAGCTTTCAACCTTTTTGTGACTGTATTTTGTTCTTATTTCTTATTGAACAGCTGGATTATTTTCAATCAAATCTGACAATCTGTTTTAAATTGTAAATTTAGACCATGTACATTTATTGTAATTCTTCCTTTTACTGTAATCCTGAACATTTTAATATAAATACTTCAAGTCAGAAGTTAATCAATAGCTCTATACTCCTGATCACCACCCAAATTAAATCACTCATTAACTCCATTAAGCCACTCAATCTTCTATGTTATTTGTATCCAGTAGTTCTGGGTCATTTTGTTAATCTCTTTAATTAATCATTATAATTATTATTGCTACTATTTTTTTATAAGTAAGTTCTTATTTAAAGCATTTCTTCGTTCACCATTATTTCTTCCTTCTTGCTTCTATTAATTCAATTTCCATCATTCTACAGTACTCACATACTAGTTCTTTCAGGAAGAATCTTGACAAGTGAATATTTAATGTCTTAATTTCACTCAAATTGGATACACAATTGCACACAGATATACACACACCAAATGCACAAATATTTTTTCTCAGCACTTTGGAAGTACAGTTCCATTATCTTCTGGCATATCTATCCTTGCTACTGAAAAGTGAGCAGTTTAATAATTATTCCTTGGTGAGAGCTATGCCTTTTCTATGTGCTTTACAGATTATCTCTGGTTTGGCATTCTATGGTTTCTCCAGGATGTTCCTGGACTGGAATTTTTTTTATTTATTTCTCTCATGACACTCTTTCTACTTAACCCATAAATTCATGCTGTTTCAACAGTTCTGTAACATATTAAGCAAATTCCTATTTAAACATTTCTTCTCCACTTTCTACTTTGTGTTCTGCAATCACTACTAAATATATTGGTTCTTCTCATTCTATTTTTCATGTCTCAATATCTTTTATGTTTCCTTTATCTTACTTTATCTATGCAATGTCCTCTGATCTATCTCCCAGTTCTCTAAGTATCTTTTATAATCCTATAGAGATCTTAACTTCAATGACCATTTCTCATTTCTACCTTTTTCCTAAACTTCTCCTTTCATATATCTAGCTATCATGTTTTTAATTTATTTATGTCTTTGATCCCTTTAAGCATTTGTTATCTTAAATCCTTTTAAGGGTATTCATTATCTTTATATATATATTATCTGAATTTTTAAGTCTATTTGCAATGTCTGATTTTCAGCATTGATGGACTATTTTCTTTAAGATTTTGGAAATATAAATTATGAGGTCATTTACATTGAAGCACTATTTGTATGAATGTCATTTACCTAAAAAATTTAGATTATACTTTGCCAAAAAGGTCTTCAGTCTGCAGATCTTTATACTGGTGACTATTTATTCCCTCTCTTTAACCTCTCTCTTTTCTCTATTTCACAGAATCATTATTTCCAGCTGTATACTGAAGAATTAATCATGTTCAAAGAACATGACACACAAACATACATTTTGATTAACATCACCCAGGGAAGAAACACTGTCATCAACATATTCTTTCTACAAATTAGTAGAGACTTCCCTTTTAATTTCATCCCTCCTCTCCATCTACACTACTGCTGTCTTTCACTTAAGGCTCTAACTGGTTTCAGCACCTCCTGACATACAAAGTTACGCGATAGCATCTAAGTAACTATCACTCCTGAAACATTTCCTATGCAAAACTGAGTTATTACAGATATTTTATCACATAAACTGTATCTATTTAATTTCATTTGTAACTATAAGTGTACCATGTTTTATTAAACATGACTAATCTTAATATTAATCAATTAAAATAGAGTCTCCGAAACTAAGGCTAAAGCAGGAAAAATTACATTTAGAACATAAACACAAACTCTTGACCTTAAATTAATGGGTTTTAGACATATTTCAGTATATACTCTACTTACCTTATGGGCAGGTACCAGATTTACCAAAACTGTATCCAAAAGCTCCTGAGATACTGTATCACCTTCACAAATAATAGAACTCATGAGGTCTACCATGTGCATATGAACTTTCTGATTGTGACCATTGCTGAAATTCAAAATAGATTATTTTATTTAAAGGGTATAGGATTTACTCATAACATGGTGTTGACAAATACTACACTTTATAAAACATGATATTAAAATATTAATTAAATCAAATTCCATATATTCATTTAAAGTTTCCCTCTCCCATATCTTACAGTGGTATCAAAAATATATTTTAAAACTCATTTCCCGGATTACTTTTCCCTAATTTTAACCAGTCTCACAATCAAAAATAATTAAATCAAATGCTATCTTTAGTTTTACCTTAAATTCAGAAACTCAAACTGCTCTGAAATTAATTCTAATAGATAATATTAAAGAATACACAAAAAACTCAAGTTTTATATGAATCAAGATCAGTAATATTTAATTAAAAGATAAAAATATAATCCAAAAAATATTTTATATTGACTATAGATTGCCTTATGCCACTCTTGTATATACCCTACAATACAAAATTGATTAGTTCTATCCATTTTTAAAACATCTATAAAAATGTTAAGAGTTCCTACGTTACAACTCTCAGCCTGCCAAATATTCATCATAACACACAGTTGATGCATATTCACCTGTAAGTTCTAAATGCTTTATACTTTAAAAAAAAAGTTACATGCCTAGTAAAATAAACTTACTTTATAACTGAAAATAATGTTCTGTATAATTGGGTAAAAATTTCATTGCTATCTTCCAACTCAAAGCATATGTTATATGACTTGACCCAAGCAATGTTCTAAAATAAGAAGTAAAAAAAAAAAAAGAAAGAAAGAAGGTAAACACTTCAATTAGTAAAAATATACAAGCACATAAACCAATTTAAAATGTCATCTCAAGATACATTGCTTACCTCAAGTAAGTAAAAATACCTATTGAACTGTGGGCTCTTTGTATCTTCCAGCCCCTTTAACTGCCTTGTTATAAACATAAATATATCCTTCAAAAAAAGAGAGACAAAGGATTATTTAGATTATGGATCCTAAATGAAAATATCCACTAACTCCTAAAGCTAAATCAGCACTCATGTGTATCTACCAAGATAAATTGTAAAGAACCGAAGAGGGCTGGACAGGACTATATATGGCTGGAACTTTTTAAAAGAACCTTATCATATGAAAACACTAAACATCTTATTAACCTTCACAGGAAAATAGTAAATAATTTACCATCACCTTAGAGAGTGAAAAACTTCATCTTAAAGCAAGTCCAAAAAAACTAGACCAAAAAACTAGTAAACCAAAATTTATCCTATTATCAGTATAACGAAGGTTATATTTTATAATGTTATTAGTATTAGTATTACATACTGATAACAAAGATAATACTAATAATGTGACAGACAGCTAATGAGGTTTGCTAGAACAGCACTATATAGGTAATTATACAGCAAAAACACAGTTTAAGAAACTTAAAATTCCAAAATAAATCACCAAATGAAAAGATAATAGATCACAGAAACAGAAATTTTAAAAAGACCCATAGAACTTAACTTTCAAGCTTCCTACCTAATCATTATAATTACTTGCTTTTTCCCACCATTTCTCAATCTATCTCCATCTGTCGGCTTTTGATTTTTTTTTTACTACATCCTCCTTTTGTACCTGGATAGAGATAGGTTCAATGTCCCTTTAAGGCAAGTTTTATGGAAAGGATGTTCTTAAAATTTTGGAAAAGGGTAAAATTGTAAAAGCTGATTCTGTAAAGCAATCATGCTAATCAATAAATATAAATAATATTAAATAAATAAAAAGAGAAAAATGTTTCCCTTGTAAGTAAAATGATAAAGAATATTTTTAAAGGAAAAAATACACAGTTAATGACTAGCTTTTCAAAAAAAAAATTATGAAAAGTACGTCCTTCAAAAATGGTCACTTTGATAGTAGTACTGTACAAAATACATCTTTTGTGAATAAATCCTCCTACTGTGACTAAAAGAAAACCAAGTGCCACAATGTCTACCTGGAGATAGAAAGACAACAGTCACCCATTCATAACCTCTCCAACAATCACTGACCTACACATGAAGCCAGGTGTATAAAAAGGGTTTTCTGGTAACAGTACTTACAGTAGAAATATAAGCATCAAAGTGTCACAATTTTCTATTACTGCTACTGCAGACAAAGAAAAATAAAAACTTTATGCTTATCAATAGTGAAAAAGAAAAAAGAGGCATTTAAAGAAGACCAAAAAATCGGACCAGAGAAAGGAAGATACTGTAAATTTTTCAGCTTTGGAATAATTCCAAAGACTCTAATTTAATTGCAGCTACTCAATATTCTTCTTATAAACTGTCCTGTTACAAATAGAACAGATGTGTAGGTATTCTTTTGGGAGGACTTTTTATTACCCCAAGGCCCTGAGATAGATCACTGATTATGCAAACTGAGAAATTCACAAGGGGTAAAAGAAACCTGTAGCAGCACTCTTAAATTAGACCTTCCTCTTCCTAAGAATGCCGACAAGACACTAGTAAGGAAGAGCCCACAGGCCATCCCCAAATTAGAGATTTATAATTAGAAAGGAAAATACATACCTGGGTATACAACTTGACAGACCAGCTCATGTTATCTACTTAAACCTCTGACCATTCTCAAATTTTACATTTCAACTCTACCTTCAAGTGACAAATACTTTCACTGTCCTGAAATTTTTACCAATTAAAATATTAAACAACCATGCCCAAACCAGTTTGGTAATTCCACACTGGAATTCTGTCAGACTTGATCAAATGAGCAGGCTCCTCACTCCCAATTATCAGGGATCATATCAGGACTCTTTTTCACCACTGTAAACCCAGTTCCTAACACATAATTAACAACAATACTTGTTAAAATAAAATAAACCTAAATTGCCATCATTTTCTCCACAATGGCAGTAATAATCTTCCTATACACTCATTCCCTAACCTACAATTTCCACAATTATCTTTTTTTTCTTTTTAAAGATTTTATTTATTTATTTATTTATTTATTTGAGCTAGCGAGCGAGAGAGAGAGAGAAAGGGGGAGAGAGCACAAGCTAGGGGGAGGGGCAAAGGAGGGAGAGAGAGAGGCTGGACTCCGGTCTTGATCCTAGGACCCAGGGATCAAGAACTGAGCTAAAGGCAGCCACTTAACCAATTGAGCCACCCAGGCGCCCCCACAATTATCTTTTATTACTACTGGTTTTTCTAGTTTTCTCACCTATTTTATTCAGTATCTTTTTGCACAGCTCTAGTTATTTCACACTTTCTAGCAGCTGGATTAATCATGCTATTCCCCTTTTTTCATCTTTGAAAGATTTTCCAATCATATGGCTTTACTTACAACTACTTTAACCAAGTACTAGGTGTCTTTTCTACCTTTTCATTAAAATTTTGTTCACTGTATTTTCTTCCAAACAATTCACATCACACACACACACATTAGGATTCATAGTATAAATTCAGGCTTATACTACATACTATGTTTTAAATAATGAATATAGGCTTCATCATAGATGTTCAAAAGGGAAAAGGAAGTATCCCCCCACCAAGTGCTATTGAAATAGAATTAATGATAATATAAAAAGTATACTATATAAAGTATATGCACTAATCTACTTCTTATCCTAAAGATCAAAAACTGTTTTAGCAAAGTAAGTACTAAATGAAGGGTGGGGGAGTTCTTTGGAGAAGAAGAAGAAGAGGAGGAAGAAGTTGTTGTTTAACAAAAGATTGCTACAGTCAGTGTCAAAGAATCTGAAGAAATTATCTAAATACTTTAAGTCCCATTTTAGTTAGATAAATGAAAGTATCAGTCAATCTTGAAAATTCTTTAAATCAGTACTTGCCTTTAGTTTATCAGGGGACGTGTAAGGAGCTTCAGGAGCATAAATCCTGAAAATATCAGCAAGGCAGCAGGCTACCAGTAAGCGAACATCTTTGTCAGGATGCTTGAGGAAAAAATCTGAAGCAAGATGTAAAGCTAGGTTTAAATATAGCTCCTTTTCTTCTTCAGAGTCCTGGTCCATATCCATGAAAGTTTTCACAACCATCTATTCAAAAACAGAATAATGAAATCATGAAATCCTTCATGCAAAACTAGTCATTTGAAATAACAACCATATGAATTACAAAGATTAACTTCCAAATAAATAATATACAGTAGTTTTCATTTTTCCTCTGTTAAGTGTCGAGAGAACAAGATCCTTCAAAAACTACAGGAAAAATAACTTCTTTAAAAGACTTTAAAAGACTAAGATACTTTTCATGTACCCATCCTATCTGCTAACCGATAAAAAGTTTAAAACTAGCCTTGCATGGCATTTCTGGTCTCACTTTTACAAATGGACTAAAAGGAATATGTCCTTCTTAAAAAGAACAACCCCTTTTTATAACATACCTACTGCTTTTACTACACTTAAGAAAAAACCCAGGAAAAGAAAAAAACAATTTATTTTTCCATCTGACCCATAAACCACTCCAGATACATGGACTTATACAGTCAGCTAAAAAAGAATAAACAGATTTAAGAAAGGATGATGAAGATGTATTCCAAAACATTAAAAAGCTACCACAAAGTGACTTCCATAGCATCCAACAAAATATTTCTTGTGCAACGGTAAAAGAGAACATGACATGGACAGTTTCTTAGTAGGACTCAATGGCATGAATGAAGCAAGCAGAAAGAACCTATAAAAAATGTTTCCTTTTTCAAAAACATTTACATAAAAGAAGTAGGACAGAAATAAATATGGTGAGGAATGGTACCAGTTGAATTCTATAAAGAGCTTTTTCTAATTTCCGTATTAGTTGTCACAATGAACCCTCAGTCCATACTATGCTTACCTCAGATGAGACTTTAAATTGACAACTTGACAGGAACATACATTTAAATAAAACTCTAATGGAAAGGTGACCATCCGGCATCCACTAGGTGGTGCTGCAAATACTAATCAACAAGTAGGACTGGCCACCAACTATCAATATCTATGACTTAGTCCTTGAAAAATACACGGATTTCTACTCTGCGTTAGAGCTAGATTCCATTGCCTTGCTGGGAAACAGCATTCCTCACAGGGAAGAAGACCTCAGTTCTACTATGCCAGATGCCAGAACCAACTGTAGGTTAATTCTTCCAGTCTGGCACTATAGTTAGTTTAAGGGTACAAGGTCCAGGACTACTCTCCTACCTTCTTAAGTTTATTCTTTTAAGATATATGTTTGACGGTATAGGCATATCATGAAAAGAGGCAAAGAAAAAAAAAAAAAAAAGACCTACATGCAGGAAACCATTTCTTTTTCTAGAATCTGTTCACAAAGAGAGATTCAGTATATTTTGAATAGAATATTATAGGAAACTCTAGAAATAATATAAATAATAAATAATGACCCTACATGTTAACGGTTTTAATTTATAAAACTCACTCCTGTAATTGTACATATCAAAAATTACTGTCAGCCCACCATTAAATCCTTTTTATATTTCTCTAAAAAGGTTGCTAAAAATAATGGGTAAGTGTAAATTAGGAAAATAAATGAAGAAAAAGTATATTAGCCAGATTACTGCTGGGCATAAATGTCTAAAAAATAATGAAAACATATTGCAAACACTAAATGTGAACACTGTGGAAATCATTCCACAAAAACTAACAACAAAGTTTACACAAGGGCTAGATAATAAGAATTCCTCAAAACCATCTACAACTCAAATGGTGTTATTAAACTCAATTGCTCATGTATAAGTCATCTATTAAAAAAGATGTCTGAGGAAATATCATCTCTAAAAGTCAGGAAATGTTAATCAACTTAGAAGTACACCTTCTGCATTTAATAGTTTCTTCGTAAACAACAGAGATGTTTATCATTGTTAAAATAAAAACTAATCTGAGGAAATCAAGTATTCACTTCTCTAAAAATTCAACAGGTCAAGAGAACATACATACAGAGAAAATGAAAAGTGTCACATACAAAGGATATGTAGCTTCACTATTTTTAACAAAATATACACAAGTTCCTAACTAGCACATATCGGTAATTTTAATCTGCTCAAAGGTGTCTTTCCCTTGGAATAAAAAAATCTAGTATCTGACAGTCTAATATCTTACGCACAAAACTAAGACTTTATGGGAAATTTATGACTATTGGAGTCCTTTTCTTCTAATAAAAATAAACCATGAAGCAACAACTTTAAGACAGTACTTTGCTTTAAAGAGGCTCCAGGTTCTTCAATGATTAATTAATGCAGGTTTTCCAGTCTTGAAATAGGGACAAATAATAATGTATCAAGCAAAATTAACGTCTAGGTAGATATAATTTAGAAGGGAAAAAAATGCTCAAAAATAAAGAACAGCTCAACTAACTGATAAATCAGCTTAGCACTCTGGTTAGCCACTCTGCTCCTTTAAGCATTTTATAATCACAGGGACCAACCATCACTGCCCTGAAGAAAAGGTAAAATATTGTTCAAACACATATAAAGAGACTGAGCCAGAGACCACTTCATCTATGGAAGGTCACCATCAATCTTGATTCACTGCTGCATGTCAGAAGCAGAGACAGAAGCTGAAAGTAAAGCTCTTTAACCTACTCCAAAGTAACTTAAAAGTAAGTAATGCTCAGTACAAAGACTTAAAACTTCCCTTCTCAGATTAAAATGATTGTTGTTTTAAAATAAATGAGATACAGGACAAAGAACTTTTATACAGACAACAATGAATGTAAAGTACTACAGATTTATTCTTTATACCCAAGTATAGGTGGCCCTAGAAAAGCTTCACCCTTCCAGCTGCTCTCCCATTAACAATAGCCAAGGAAACCCTACAGTTCTTTACCTATTTCCACTCTCCTCAATCCTTTCCCTGCCATTTTTAGCTTTCATTTGCTTTTTTAAGGTGCCCTAACAAAATATAGCCCTATGTGATTTCCAAAGGTAACCCCCCACCCTGAACAGATACCCCAAAACATAACATAATTTTACTCACCTTTAACCGTCTCACCATCTCCTCTTTAGATATTTTATCTGAGATTTCCTTGACACCAGGAGGATAAGTAATTTTTCCATCATTGGTTCTTGTCTTTGAATGAGCCATGATGGAAATATTTTTACCCCTAAAACAAGAAAACAATTAGAAGCAAACAAAAAAATTGGCATAAACTAAATAATAAACATGAAAGGTAACCTGTCCTCACAACCAAATAATTTATAACTACTTCCTAATTTACAGTATCTCACTTATCTAATTAATGAAAAACATTTTATTAAGCACTTCCCCAATTTTTTTCAATTATATTTTCACTTCCATTTCTACTAATTTTAAGTTGGGTGATTTGCACTAACCATCCAACTACATAAACTATAAATAATAGGGGAAAAAAGCCATCCAAAACAAGCTTATTTTTTAAAGCACCACAAATTACTTGTCCCAAACAAAAGAGAATACAGGAATCCAAAGAGGTAAAAGGGGTACTGGAGCATTATATCCACTGACACCCTGAGGGCATTTGCCAACCCTGACAAATCTAGAATTCAGTTTGGTCATCTTATGAGGCAACAGGGACAGAGGTAAATCTTAACCTGTCAAGATAGAACATCAGAGACCCTCCTGACATCAATGCACAATACTACCCCAACTCCAGAAAGATAACACCCTCAAAGATAAGCCAGAAATCAATATGTGCCCATGCCCCCATCAATAGCCACTGGGAAGAGCAGAGCAAGCTGCCTTGGTACTAAGCAGAGCAACGTAGTAACAAATACAGCTAAATGATTTTCGACATGGGCCTGCACATTTGCTATGGTTCACATTACCTAAGTTCTCTGGGAACCTCAACACATTAACGCAGTGACCCCTGACTGGTAGTACTACCAAGAACCAAATGTAAGTAAAATTCTACACCTCAAAGAATGCCCACCATGAGGTTTCTAGGACAATGAGCATTATCAAGTCAAAAATAATCAAGCACCTAAGGAAACATGACACTATGTGCAAGAATCAGCAGAAATACCAGGCACCAAGACAGAACACACAAAGACTTCATATATTACAATTCTCATACAGATTACAAAACTACTGTATTTATTGTTTTAAAGAAATAAAAGTCTAAAATAACTCAAGGAATAATTATAGAGAGCAAACCAGAACAGAAAGTCAAACTTCTAAAAATAAAAATGCAAAAACTAAAATTAAAAACTCAATGGACAAGTTTATTAGCAGATTAGAAAAAGCTATTAAAATTAGTAAACTGGAAGAGAAATCAAAAGAATATAAAGAACAAGAAAGGACAGAAAAGATTAACTTACGATTCATGGAAGTACCAAAAGATAAATGAAGGTAGAGGCCCTATCTGAGTAGAACAGCATAAAATATCAATCCATAAATTCAAGAAGCCAAACAAAATTAAACTCAAAATAATAAGAATTGTAGAAAACAAACAAAACCTTAAAGCAATCATATAACTTTGAAAGGAACAGTTTAAACTTGTATGTCAGCACAATGTAAGCCAGAAGACAACAAAATGTCATCCTCAATGTGGGAAAAGAATATAATTGCAAAGCTCAAGTTTACATCCAAAGAATATAATTTTCAAGAATAGGATGAAAATACAGACAAATTAGCCTAACAAAAATTGGAAGCTATAAGTAAATACAATAACACTTACAACACTGCTTAGCACTTACAACACTGCTTAGCACATACTATGTACTTTACACTATACATATTTGATATATATAGTCAGGTTAAAAAACGATTTTAAAATTTCAATATGAAGAGTTTACATAAAACATTTAAAAATATATGGATACAAGATGCTGAAAGTAAAAGGAGGAGATGATATACCATGCAGACACTAAACACCAATTACAAAGTGGGTAAAAGACATGAACAGACATTTGAAGAGGGAATTCAAATGGCAAATAAGCATATGAAAAAGATGTTCAACACCATTAATCATTGGAAAATGCAAATTAAAACCACAATGAGATACCATTATACACTATTAGAATGGCTAAAATAGGAAATAGCAGTAACATCAGATATAGCAAGCAAGATGTGAAGAAACTGAATCTAGACACTGCTGGTGGAAATGTAAAATAGTACAACCAATAGCTGAAAATAATCTGGCAGTTTCTCATAAAACTGAACATGCACTTACCAAACAAACCAGCAACTGCACTCTTGGGAATTTTTCCCAAGAAATGAAAGCCAGTGTTTATGCAAATCTGTATAGGAATATTTGTAAAAGCCTTATTCATGCACCTCAAAACCGGAAGCAATCCAAAGCCCTTCAATGAATAAATGGTTAAACAAATTCTGATAGATCCATACAATGAAATACTACACAGCAATAATAAGAACTTACTAAAACATGCAATAACTTAACTGTCCTTATGCTTACTGGAAAAGCCAATCTCAAAAGGATACACGCTACATGGTTTCATTACTATAATATTCTCAAAATGACAAAACTACAGACATGGAGAACAGATTAGTGGCTGCTGGGGTACACAGATGAGACTAAGAGGTAAGCATTATGGAATTCCTATATAATTCCGTATCTTGACTGCTATAGTAATGACATGAATCTATATACAGGATCAAACTATACAGAACTACACAGAGACAGAAAGAGAGAGAGAAAAAATATAATGCAAAAACTTAAGAAAACTGAATAAAATCACTTATCTAATTAACAATATTATATCAGTGTCAATTTCCTTATTTGATATTGTACACTTCAGTTACATAATATGTCACCACTGGCAGAAGATGAGGAAGGATTACAGAATTCTGTGTACTATTTTTTGACTTTACACCTATAGCAAAATAAAAAGGTTTAAAAGCAAAGCAATCAACTGTATTCATATGGATAGCAAATAAAAAGTTTAGAAATGCAATTTACATAGAAAAACATAAACTATCTACAAGTTAATCTAACAAAAGATGTACTTTTACAGAGAAAAATCATTGACAGAAATTAAAGAAAACCTAAATAAATGAAGAGATATTATAGACTGGACTGGAAGTTTCAAATACCATAAAGACAGCAAATCTTCCCAGTGTTTACATAGTCAATATAATCCCAACAAGCCCAAGTTTTGATTTTGAAAGAAACATGGCAAATTTTTTAAAAATTTATATGTAAATGCAAAAGGCCAAAAATAGCAAGCTACTTAAAGAAAAACACTATAAATGAATTTGTTCTCAAATATTAAAACCCACTATAAAGCTACAGTAATCTATTTAGATGATGTAGTACTTACTGGTGCATGGGGGAAAAAAAGGATCAATGGGAAATATTAGCCTAAAAACAGACCCTTCATGTTTTATACATTAAATTTAATATATGAAAAACAGCAGCAGGGCATATCAGTAAGAAAAAATCAGAGAGAACAAAACGAAAAATTCCAAATATTCCCTAACATTTCAATAGTATTAAGTCTTCCAATCCATGAACACTGGATTATCTTTCCATTTATGTCTCATTTCTTTCACCAACATATTACAGTTTTCAGTATACAACTTTGACTTCCTTGGTAAAATTTACTGTAAAGTAACTTTTTTCTTTTTGATACTATTGTGAAGGAATTCTTTTGTTAATCTCCTTTTCAGAGAGTTCACTGGTAGTATCTCAAAACGTTACTGATTTTTGCATGTTGATTTTGTATCCTGCAACTTAACAGAATTTATTAGTTCTAAAAGTTTTTTTGTAGAGTCTTTAAGAGTTTTCTACATATAAGATCACGTCATCTGTGAACAGGGAAGTTTATTTCTTTTCCAATTTGGATTCCTTTTATTTCTTGCCTTTAATGCCTAAATGCTGGGTAGGACTTCCAGTACCATGCTGAATAGAAGTAAGTGGCAAGAGTGGGCATCCTTGTCTTGTTCTTGACTTTAGAAGAAAACTTCCTATTTTCATCACTGAGAAATGCAAATCAAGAACAAGTTATCACTTCACTCCTGTTGGATGGCCATTATCAAAAAAAAACAAAAGCTAACAAGTGTTGACAAAGAGGTGAAGAACAAAGAATTCTTGTACACTGTTGGTGCGAATGTAAAATAATACACCCACTATGGAAAGCAGTATGAAGTTTCCTCAAAAAATTAAATATAGAACTACCAGACGATCCAGCAACCCCGATCCTGGGTATATATACCCCCCAAAAAAAGGAAATCAGTAAGTCCAAGAAGTATCTGCACACCCATCTGCACTGCAGTATTACTCGCAAAAGCCAAAATATAGAAAGAACCCAAATGCTCATCAATAGATGAATGGATGAAGAAAAAGAGGTTTATACATACAACAGAACATTACTCAGGCTTAAAAAGAAGAAAATCCTACCATTTGCAACATGAATGGAACTGAAAGACATGCTGAGTGAAATAAGTCAATCACATAAGGGCAAATACTGCATGATCCCATTTATAGGAGATAACTAAAATAGTCAAACTTAGAAGATACAGAAAACAGAATAGTGGTTGCCAGGAGATGAGAGGAGAAAATGGGGAGTTATTATTCAATGGGTGTAAAGTTAGAGTTTTACAATATGATTAAATTCTGAGATGTTCTATACAACATAGCATCTATAGTTAATACAGTGTTGTACACTTAAGAATTTGTTAAGAGGGTCGATTTCACATTGTGTGTTCTTACAAAGACAAAAAAGCAAAAACACAAGGAAACTTCTGGAAGTGACTGTGTTTACAGCAAGTGACAGCTATGTGGTAATGGTATCATAGGTGTTGCATACAGTATGTATGCAGTTTTTCTCTCTGTATCAGTTACAGTTCAATAAACCAATTTTTTAAAGATTTTATTTATTTCACACAGAGAGAGAGAGCATGTGGGAGGGGCAGAAGGAGAGAGAGAAGCAGGCTCCCTGCCAAGCAGGGAACCCGATGTGGGGCTCCATCCCAGGACTCTGGGATCATGACCTGAGCCAAAGGCAGAAGCTTAACCAACTGAGCCACCCAGACACCCCAAAACTCAGGAAATTTGCCTAAAAATCACTGAATTGTACACATGAAATAGGTAAAGTGTATTAATTTTATGCTATGTAAATCATAGCTCAATAAAGTTTTTAAAAGTTTACATTTTTTCAAGTTCTG